AAAGTGCATGCCCCTGAGCGTAAGAGCAATAGAACAGTGTGTAGGACATTTGCCTTGCTGGTTCGATTCTGGCATCCATGTGGTCCCTGAATACCAACAGAATCGATTTCTGAGGGCAGAGCCAGGAGTAACCCCTGAGAATTGTTGGGTGTGATCCAAGAACCAAAAAAAATAAAGTGCATGCCCCTTTTCACTACCATTTGGAGCGGAGGTCTTTGGGTGACACCCCTGCTGTGCCCTGGAGGTGGTTGAGAGCTCTGTGCTAGGGGACCATAAGCTATGGGGACTGACAGGGAGCCAGACATGGGCCTTACTCCCTGGACTACCTCTCTGTCCACATTAAAAATTTTTTTTGGGGGGCGGTCACACCTGGCGATGCTCAGGGGTTACTCCTGGCTCATGCACTCAGGAATTACTCCTGGTGGTGCTCGGGGGGACCATATGGGATGCTGGGAATCGAACCCGGGTCGGCCACGTGCAAGGCAAATGCCCTACCTGCTGTGCTATCGCTCCACCCCCCCATACTAAAGTTCTAAAAAAAATTATTTGCTTTTTTTCCTGGGGAACACCTGGCAATACCCAAGGCTCTCTGCACGAGGGACCATATGTAGTGCTAAAAACTGACCAGGTCCAGTATATGCAAAGAGGCATCCTAGCCCCACCCCGAGATGACATGTACGATCTCTCTGCCCACTCTCTGCCCTCTGTTTTTGGGCACTGCTGGTGGTACTCAGGCAGGGGTTACTACTGCTTAGTGTGTGTTTGGGGAGAGGGGTGGTTTCTGGTGGTACTGGAATTGAATCCTGCCCTGGTTCATGCAAAAACATGTATTCAACCATCTCTTGGGCTGTATTTGGGGTGTGTGTGTGTGTGTGTGTGTGTGTGTGTGTGTGTGTGTGTGTGTGTTGTTTGAGCCTGAGCTCTGAGCCCAGGGATCACTCCGGGCAAGGCTCTGGGACCATTTGGGGTGCCAGAATCAAATCCTGCTCTGCTTCTTGCAAGGCAGAACACTACCTTCTACACCATCTCTGACCTTCAGGCCTTATGACACCCCCTTTTTGTGGGGAGGGCTTTGCTTACTCCTGTCTCTGGGCTCAGGGATCGCTCCTAGAGGGGCTCAGGGACCAAATGGGGTGACGGAGAGCAAACCCTGTGGGCAGCATGACAGACAAGCACCCTGCCCCCCTGTACTACCACCCAGTCCTCCTTCCTCACCCACTCTGACCTCCCCCAACCTTTTAGAGGTGATGCAGTTCCCTTTCATTCCTTTGGCATTCCCGGCTGATCGGGTTCTTCTCCTTCCTCTGTCCCCTGCCGGCAGGAACCCTCCGCCCCGTTCGCCGCAACTACTACGACCCGTCGTCGGCGCCCGGGAAGGGCGTGGTGTGGGAGTGGGAGAACGACAACGGGTCCTGGACGCCCTACGACATGGAGGTGGGCATCACCATCCAGCACGCCTACGAGAAGCAGCAGCCCTGGATCGACCTCACCTCCATCGGCTTCAGCTACGTCATTGACTTCAGCACCATGGGCCAGATCAACCGGCAGACGCAGCGCCAGCGCCGGGTGCGCCGGCGCCTGGACCTCATCTACCCACTGGTCACGGGCACGCTGCCCAAAGCCCCGTCGTGGCCGGCCAGCCCGGCCGCGGCCGCCTCGCCCCCTGGGCCGCCCTGCTCCTGCCCGCAGTGCGTGCTGGTGATGAGCGTCAAGGCGGCCGTGGTCAGCCCCCAGAAGCCCCCCGGCGCCCGCAAGAATGTGCCCACCGCCGTCAACGTGCCGCTCAAGCTGCCCGCGCCGCCCGGCCCCGGGGCCAAGCCCCTGGACGGCACTGCCACCCTCCGAGGCCCCGTGAAGACGGTCCCCCGCGCAGCTGGCCCGGCGACAGATGTCCAGCGCACCCACGGGGGCGACTGCGGGCTCTCCAGCCAGCCCCCCGGGAGCCAATGGAAAGCCCGGAAGGGTGGCCCTGGCTACCTTAAATCGGACCAATCTGCAGCGACTGGCCATTGCCCAGTCCCGGGTGCTGATCGCCTCTGGGTAGGTACTGCCCAGCTGCCTCTAAGTGCCTGGATGTCTCCTGGATGTCTTCTCGGCATCCACTGGATACAGATGCTTGGGTTCTGGTCCTTGTGTTCTGCAGATCCACCTGGGATTTCCGGCAGATGCTTAGCGCCAGGAAGTCCCAGGGGTAGATGCTGGTTTTGAGGCTCTTAGCGTTTCCAGGAAAATTATAAAGATCACATTGACCCTCTGTGTTCTAGTTTGGGGTTCATCTTGGTTTAGGTTTGGAGTCACACCCTGCAGTGCTCAGGGATCACTCCTGGCAGGGCTTGGGTGACCATCTATGATGCTGGGGATTGAACCCGGGTCAGCTATGTGCGTGGCAAACACTTGACCCGTTGAACTGTCTCCCTGGCCTCTGTTTTGCGTTCTTATCATCTCATTATTTTTGAGGGGCACCCCCGCAGAGGTGCTGGGGGGCTGCTTCTGGGGAGATGCAGGGGATCAATCAGGGGCTCCCTCATGGGATGCTGGTGTTCCCATTCTTTCCCCAACTTGAGCAATCCCCTGCCCTTTCTTTTTACCCTTTCGTTAAAATGTGGGTTTACCATGGGCTCACAATGCATACCTTTTCACAACTCACCTTTTTTTTTAAATTTTTAAAAAATTTTTATTAGTGAAACATCATGAGGTACAGCTGTAGACTTACAAATTTTTGTGCTTGGGTTTCAGTTATACAATGATCAAGTACCCATCCCTTCACCAGTGCCCATTTTCCACTACCACTGATCCCAGTATCCCTACCCCCCCCCCCCCCCATCCCACCCTGCCTCTCTGGCAGGGCATTCCCTTTTGTTCTCTCTCTCCTTTTGGGTGCTGTGGTTTGCAAAAGAGGCATTGAGTGGCAGTCATGTTCGGTCTATAGTCTACTTCCAGCATGCTTCTCCCATCCTGGGAGGCTCCTCCCAACACCCTTTATTTGGTGCTTCCTTCTCTATCTGAGCTGCCTTTACCCCTAGAGTGTGCGACTGGCCTCCAGGTCATGGAGTAAACCTCCTGGTATTCATCTCTGCTATTCTTGACACACCTCACCTCTTGATGAGGCTATGCCTCTTCACGCTCTCCACCATCCCACTTTGAGATTGACCTCCCCGCCACTCCCTCCTCACTTACATCCCCTTAAGGACCACTGTATTCTATTTGTGTTTCTACCGCACCCGGTGATGCTCTGGGGTTGCTCCTGGCTCTGCGCTCAGAAATCACTCCTAGTGGTGCTTGCAGGACCCTATGGGATGCCGGGAATCGAACCTGGGTCGGCAGCATGCAAAGCAAGCTCCTTACCCATTATACTATCACTCTGGCCCAGTCCCATTGTCTTTGGCACAGAGTCTCAGAGTGATTTTTTTTCTGGAATTTGTTACTTCCTTGGCTTGGGTTGTTTGTAGTCCACCTCTGCAAGAGCCAGAACGTCCCAGATGTAGATGCTAGTGGTGAAACCCTTAGATTTCCGGGGGCTTATTATAAAGATCACATCTCCCCATCCGCCCTTGTTTTTTATGCCATAACTTATTTCACTGAGCACCGTCACCAAGCAACATCCCATTATTGCAAAAGGCAAAATTTCATCCTTTTTATTCACGATCACGATCACGACCATCCTGTTGTTCGTCAATTGCCTCGAGCAGGCCCCAGTAACGTCTCCTTCCTCTTAGCCCTGAGATATTTTTAAAAAGTGCCATATTCAAGGCTCTTTCAGGGTTAGGAGAATGAGACTCATCATTGTGACTGGTATTTGGCATATTGGGTATGCCACAGGGAGTTTGCCAGACTCTACCGTGTGGGCAGGTTACATTCGGTAGCCTGCCAGGTTGTCCAAAATAAGAATGAGATAATAAGATGTCACTTCCGGGAGCTGGGTTTTATAGTCTCTGGGTCTTGGCTGTTGATGGGATTACACGGCGCCAGGGGGCCAGTTGGTGGGTGTGAGTGACCCCTGCCTACTGGAATTTGGAGGATCTGGGTGGAGGATGCCCAGCCCCGATCCGAGCAGGCTTGGAGATCTCAGCCCCGGGACCCGCATGCCTTTGTTCCTCTGCCGGTACCTTCATGTGTGTGGAGAGTGGGCTCAGCATGGTGGTGGCTGGTTCTGAAGGTCTTCGGCTGCCGAAGCCCTGGTCGGGGTGGGGAGGGAAACTCAACCTGCTCCCTTCCAAGGGGCCCCGGCAAGGACAGCCAGGTGCGGGGGCAGGAGACTGCCTTTTTTTATTCAATGAGTTGAATTCCACCGCCTCTGTTCTACAGACTCTATTTTCCAGGGCTGGGCATTGAGACAGGTTCCATGTTTTGGTTCTGGGCTGAGCACGTAGGGGTGCAGGGATCCTTTTGAATTCTCCTTTTTCATGTTCTTTAGATAAATGCTTAGGAGAGATATGGCTGTATCATCTGGTATTACTATTTTTAGGTTTTTTTTAAGTGTATCTCTGTTCCATTTTTCACCAAAGCTGTACCAATTTACATTCCCATTCATAGTAGAAAAGGCTTTGAGATCCCATTTTAGCGATAGAGAAACGAGACATTGACTGGCTGCAGGGCTAGAAGGATTCCAGTTTTCGGAAGATGTGATGGTTTATTACCATTGTTTTTCATGTTCTTCTTGGACACGCTGGCCATAAAATGGGAGGTTCCCCCAAGGCTAGCCTGTCTTGCTTCAACCTTAATTTGCTAGGCTCTGAGTTCTTTTTCTTTTTTGCAGGGGGCGGGGGAGGTGCACATCAGGTTTTGTTCGAGGCTTCCTTCTGGCTCTGAACACAGAGAATCACTCGTGGTGGGCTCAGGGGACATTTATGTAGTGTCGGGGATCGAACCCAGGTCAACCATGTGCAAGGCAAGCGCCTGATGCATTGTATTATCTCTCAGCCCCAGCCCTTGATTTCTTCTTTGGGGGCTTTTGGCCTTGCCCTGTCTCTGCTTCCTCAGAAGAATCGCTTACAGTGAGGTGTGCTGCCCGCCCCCGACTCTGCATCTAGAGACCCAGCTTGGAACGAGGCTGCACAGAGCAAGGAGGGTGCACTGTGGATTTGGGGTGCACTGCCTTTCCTCTCGCACCCTCGCGTGTGAAGGCAGGTTCTCCAGTCTTGCCTCCCTTGCCCCTGGGGTCATTGTGACAGCCGCACTCAGGGAATTCTCTCTCTGACGGTTTCTGTGAGGTATCCCCTGTTATGAGCTCGTTGCTTTATCTTCATTTTTGTTTTGGGGGCCATACCTGGCAGTGCTCAGGGCTTACCCCTGGGTCTCTGTGCAAGGATCACTTGTGGTGGGCTTGGGAGAGACCTTATGGGTACTGGGGGTTGTACCATTTATCCATTTATCTCTCCCAGAACATTTCTTTCCTTTTTTGTTTTTTTTGACTTTTTGGGTCATGCCCGGTGATGGTGAGGGGTTAGTTTAGTCCTGGCTCTGCACTGAGGAATTATTCCTGGCGGTGCTCGGGGAACCATATGGGATGCTGGGGATAGAACCCAAGTCAGCTGCATGCAAGGCAAATGCCCTACCCACTGTACTATCACTCTGGCCCCCACATTTTCTTTCTTTACGATGCAAGTATTGGGTTGGGGTACTCAGAATTAACTCCCCAAAGAGGGCCACATAGCTCTGGCTGTGCGTGTTCCAGAGTGGATCTGGAAAGCAGGATTTCATCTCCTGATGCGGTGTTTATTTTAACTAAAGCCCAGCTCAGTTCTGTGCAAAGACAATTTCTCCATACTGAGATGCCGGCCAGCAGCACGGGACGTTCACGTGACTTGTCAGCTCTTAGACTTATCTCAGTGAAGGGCCTGACACCTCACCGGGTCACTTTATTCCTCCTTGCTGCTCTGTGATAGCATGGAGGAATGAGTCTCTGGCAGAGTTCAGGGTGATTGCTGGTGCAAATGGGGGTTGGGTGGTGGTGGGTAGTGGGTGGGAAGCTTGCTCGGTAGTAAGCACAGCCCTAGGAGTCTGACTACCTGGACTCCAGATTAGGTTTCTGCCTGTGATTCTTGGGACAAGGATTCGCATCCTTTGTTTTGCACTTGCCCATTCATAAAATGGGCTAGTTAAGAACCTTCCCGACCGGGTTAATCCTTACATGAACATGAGAATGAAATGAAAATTTCAGTCTGCCCATGTAGGACAGTACCTGGTGCCTAGGAAGAGTTCCATCAGTGTACCATCTGGCCGCCACTGTTGTGGGCCTTGACAGGTTGTTTATTGAATCTGTTGTTGATGTCAAAGTGGAGCAGAGCCTCAGTGGCCACTTTTGCCAAATGCCAAGTGATTTTACCCAGTCATCAAGGGAAAAGTACCCCGGGATGGTTTTAAATCTCAATGAGGGCGTTCCTCGCTTTTTTTTTTCTCTCTCATTCTTTATTCCCTCTGCAGGCTAGTAGAATCGGAGCAAGAGAATAGGGTGGAGGCCTGGGCAGGGAGTTTCTAAAGAAAGGACTTGTTCCATAGAAATAAGTTGTTTTTCTCCCCCTCTCCGCTCTATTTTCTTGCCGAGGGAGGCCCCTCACGCCCCCTTTCCCTGGTCCAGCCTCTCCCTCTTCACCTCTGACCATCTCCCGTTACCCCCACTGCCATCTCCCCACTCCAGCCTTTCTCAGGCAATTAATTAGCGTGTTCATTCCCTTTGTCTTCTGTCCCCATCGACCTTCTGTCCGGGGCTAGCCCTCCCCCCTCCTTTCTCTGCGCATGACCTCTTCTAGCAAGTTTCCCACGGACAAAAAAAAAAAAAGGAAACCCAGGGTGGGTGGGAGAGGTGGAATGAAGAGAAGGGGTGGGGGGGGGACAAAGGATCCTGTGAATTATTCAGAGACACAAGCAGGGGGTTTTTGAGGAGAAGAGAAGCAGGCATGCAGCAAGCCCCTGAGTCGCCTCTCAGACCCACAGCCCTCTCCTCCCCCGAAGGGGCTGCTAGGATCTGGGCAGCTCCATGGGGGGGCTCTGAAGAGGCAGACATGTGTTCTGCTGGGGGGTTTCTGGGTCAGCTCCTAATGCCAAGGAAAGCCCTGGACCCCTGTCTGGTGTCTGTGTGGTTGTGTTTTTATCATCACCTCCAGTCCTCTCATGGCTCCCCTGACAACTTTCTCTCTCTTTTTTTTTTTTTTTTGCTTTTTGGGTCACACACAGGGGTTACTCCTGGCTCTGCACTCAGGAATTACTCCCGACGGTGCTTGGGGGACCATATGGGATGCTGGGAATTGAACCTGGGTCGGCTGCATGCAAGGCAAATGCCCTACCTGCTGTGCTATCGCTCTAGCCCTCACCTGACAACTCTCTTAGCTTTAATATTTTAGAACCAGAAATGAAAGCCCATGTCCTCCATATACCTGGGAACAATCCAACAGAACAAGGACTGGGGGTGAGGCCAGAACACTTGGGTGGAGTGGAGATGCCCAGTGGCAGTTAGATGTACACATGTGGATGGGGGTGTGGACGTGGGGGATGGTGCTGTTTTCTAGAAGGAAACTCAAGCATATTTAGCTGGGGCCCCCTAATAGGGTGTGGTGCAGCTGGGAAGACTTGGGCTCTTGTGTGTGTGTGCGTGCGTGCGTGCGTGTGTGTGTGTGTGTGTGTGTGTGTGTTCTTGTTTGAACCAGTAATAGTGGGGGAGGTTGCCCAGGTGCCCTGGACAATGCAAGGCACCACCCAACACTCAGCGCTTACCCTTGTTATTTTCGAGAATCTGCCATCCTTGCAATATTAAAGCAGGAAAAGGCTTTATCAAGCCCAACTTCCTCTTGTAATTGGGAGACCAGAATGGTTACGGTCCCCCAGATTTGCTGGGTTCTTCACAAAGTATTTGACCTAGATATTAAATCAAGGTAGGGATCCTCTAAGGACTGAGCTTTCGGATGACCGATTGACAGCTGGGGTAATTCCAAGATGACTAAGGTGGTCCAGAGTTTATGCGCCCCCTCCTTCCAGAAAAAAAAAAAAACAAAAACACCTAAAGCTTTCTAGTTGAGCTGGAAACTTCTGGCAGGTCCTGTAAAGACCCCGACATGCTCTTCTACCAAGACTGTCAGTCCAGGGGTCTACGTGGAGGTAGACCCCTCCACCCTTCCTTCATCAGACTATGCCCCTACCCCAGATTGATTCTTGAACTGCCTGGGCAGTGTGCTTTGGGGATTTTTGACTATTTCCTGGTTAACCAGATTGGGTGTGGAAACCTGCCAGTCCAGTTTGTGGGAACAAAGGTAGCTTTTGTCACCCAGATCTACTTATCAGCTGGATTGGGGGCCTGAGAGAAGGTGAATGGGGGGAGGGGGAGAGAGCAAGATGGGTGGGACTGAGCAGTGCACTGCCCCCTGGTGGACGGAGAGGGCACAGGCACAGGAATGTATCACGGGTTGAGCAATGGTCCAAAGCCCTCCCAGTTCTGCAGAAAAGGCCCCAAACTCTCCCAGTTCTACAAGATAAGGAGATCAAGTCTCAGGAAAGTTAGCACAGTTTGTGAGGTTGTGAGCAGGCTTGAGACTCAGATTGTCCTTTCAACCCCCTCCCTCTTCCCCACCCCCCCGCCACTCCCCATCCACACTGGTGTGTGGAAGAATCAGAGTCCAGAGTTAAGCCTGTAGTCTTTATTTTTAGCTGTCTGTCCCCTGGGTTGAACTCAGCATCTCTCTCTCTCTCTCTCTCTCTCTCTCTCTCTCTCTCTCTCTCTCTCACACACACACACACACACACACCAGGTTTCATTTCCATTGAGACACAAACACACCCACACACGTTATTTTCACATCCTTCTGTCAAACTTGGGGCATGCGTGGTCATCCCCAGGCAGACGGATGGAGGCTGGAAGGAAGCCCAGCTGGGAAGGCTCCTCCACAGCTCTCTCCGGGTCCCTCTTCAGCCTTGTGGTCTGTTTTGTGGGTGTCTGCAGTGCGATGCAAGACAAGGTCCTGCAGACGTGAGGGCATGGTGTCAGGAGTGACTCAACCTGCTCTCCTGACACCATATCCTCGGCTGCTCCATCTTCCAAAACAGAAGACGTGTGTTTCCACAATCTGGACTTCACCTTCCCCACCCGTTAGAGAGAAATGACTCTTTAAGAGCAGTACTTTATGCACAAGACGTTGCATGGATTCTAAAGTTTCACTTCCAGGAGCAGTTAGGCCCTGTGGCGGTGTTAGGTAACCTGGAGTCATATTGGCCACCAGAGCTTGGGGCTGATGGACTGCAGGCTGTGTTGGTCACCGCTGTGTCCCCATCAGGGAGCACCCTGTCCAACACAAAGTCGGACTCAGTAAGTGCATTTTGAATAGGGCAAGGCAACAAATCAACACAGGGTCCATTATTTTCCAGGTTCTCCCTCCTATTTTGTTCCCTGAACAGAACCGTTGGCTCCCCAACAGGCTGCCTGGCTCCTGGCGTCAGGCATGACCCAGCGGACTGGCCCTCTCGGGCCCACGCCTGCCCACCCCACCCCCGGGCCCAGCTGTGGAAAGCCTGGGTGGTACAGGAATGGCGCAAGAGCCTGTCCCACATGCTCCATATTTTTCTAGTTGACTCTGTGGGAGGCCTTGTCTTTCCCAGACAGCTGGGCCATCTCCTCTCCAGCCTGGCTCAAGTTGCCGGGGGAAAGAGAGAGGCAGAAAAGGGAGGCGGCTTTGCCTGATATTTATATTTCTCAGGGAAAAGGAGAAGCGACAGCTGGGAAAGCAATGGCTTCCAACTGTTGTTGGCTCTGGGCGGGCCTCTGCGTCTCTCAGCAGAAGCTGGTCAAAACGCGGGGTTTTGTGTCATTCGCGCTGGCGTTGGGCGTCAGGCTTGGGGCTCTGTCAAGGCTTCTTCCTTGCCAGGGATCGGCTGTGCCCTCAGATGGGAACCAATGCCTTTTTTTTTTAATCCCTTCCACATCAATGGATTGGAGCGATAGCACAGCAGGTAGGGTGTTTGCCTTGCACGCGGCCAACCCAGGTTCGATTCCTCCACCCCTCTTGGAGAGCCTGGCAAGCTACTGAGAGCACCCCGCCCGCACAGCAGAGCCTGGCAAGCTCCCTGTGATGTATTCGATATGCCAAAAATAGTAACAACAAGTCTCACAATGGAGACGTTACTGGTGCCTGCTTGAGCAAATCGATGAACAACAGGAGGACAGTGCTACAGTGCTCTAGTGCCACGATGATGGGCCATTGTTAGCCTGTGAGCGTCAGACTTTCCACAGGTATTTACTCTTTTGTGGAGCCATTGATTCCGGAAGGAGAGATCAGAAGTAACACTAAAAAAAAATCTGTTTATTTCTCAGAACTAAAGAAGAAAATGAGAGAGGAAGTAGGGTAAGAGAGTTGAGGCGTTGCAGGGGAGGGCAGAGGAGTGGGTAGAAGCAGTCTTGAATACACGCGTTTCTGGAACGTTCCTGAGGAGGGTCTGGGACGAGACTGAAGCAGCTGGAGGAGAGCTGGGCAGACAGCTGGAGGATGTCAGACAGCACACGGGCTGGCCGAGAGGCAGGGAGGGGGACGCCCGGCGTGTGGAGAGAACAGTGAGCACGAAGGGGCCGGCGGCCGGATGGGAGGCCCGGGCCGGGGAGACTGCAGCTGGCTCAGAGCTGAACTGAGGCGCCATTCTGAGCGGAACTGAGGAGCCCTTCTGGGTTTGGAGGTTCTGAGGTGTGGAGTGACAAGGTCTGACTGCGGCTTTTGAAGTGTTGCCTTAAACCAACACTTCAAGTGTGTGCTTAGATCCTGCTGCGTCTCTCGTGGACGGAACAGTTCCTCTTAGAAAGGGGAACTGCATGGCGGGTGGAGGTCTGGGTGCCTTTGTCCCACTTGCTGAAGCTGTTCTGTGTCTGCCCTTTCCTCCTTCTGTAGGGTCCCCACCGTCCCAGTGAAGAACCTCAACGGGTCCAGTCCTGTCAACCCTGCCCTGGCAGGTAAGGGAATCCCTGGGCTGGTCCCTTTTCAGGGAGAAAAATGCCAGTGAGGAGCAGTAAGCGATGAGAGTTTCCATGTCAGTTCAGACCAGGCCGACCAGCTCTGCATCCTGGGCCCTTGCATTGTACTTCCCGCTTCTGTTGATTAAGAGTTGAATCACCAGCAGGAAACCCCCTTTGCCCCACTGAACGCCGCTGGAGACCACATGCTCTCACTCCCACTTCCGAAAAGATGAAAAAGAAAAAAAAACCAAAACCAAAAAATAAGGTAGCGATATTAGGAGTTGGGTTGGGAGGGCAGGAAGCGTCAGGGGAACTGACTGCTAAAGCAAAGCTTGCGGTTGCAGATGTAACCGGTGTGTTTTTGAGTAAAGCTGCAGACGGACAGAGGATCTGAGATCTGAGCACTCGGGGAGGAGGAAAGTTGGGCAACAGGGAGGGAGGAATTGGGTGGGCGGTCTGATGGGAGCTCACTCTCACACCCTTGCAGGAATCACGGGGATCCTCATGAGTGCAGCAGGGTTGCCCGTGTGCCTCACCAGGCCACCGAAACTGGTCCTCCACCCACCGCCCGTCAGCAAGAGCGAGATCAAATCCATCCCGGGGGTCTCCAACACGAGCCGCAAGACCACCAAGAAACAAGCCAAGAAAGGTATCTGCTTCTGCCCTCCGGAGTCCCAGGGGTCAAAGGCTTGGTTCCCAGCGCTGTGACTCCGACCCGACCATAGAGGGCAGACCCCTGGCATGATCCTCTCTGTGCCTTTGTTTCTGCATCTCCCAAGTGGACTCCAAGGGTTCTGCCGGCTCTGAGGAGTCCACCAAGGTGGATCTTGCAAAGACTCAATGAGACACCTGGAGAAACAGAACGATGTAGTACTGAAATGATGCAAAAAATAGAAAGGGTGACACCAAGGGTATACGTAAGTGAGAAAGCCCAGTTAATAGCCCTCCTCTTGCCTTTAAACCAAGGCAGGTTGGATTCGGGTTCCCGCTTGTCACTTGCGAGGGGTGTGACCCCAGAGAGCCTTTGTCTTCTCACCTTTATGAGAGGAGAAAATATTCCAGGTACCAGGCAGAGATGCCATGGGATAACTCTAGGGAACCCCTGTCTGTGCACTTCTGGAGCATATGAGAGGTGTCCAAGCTTATTTAGGCCTCCAAAACCCTTTTCAGATAAAACTATCATTCAGAACCTCCCTAGGTATCAACGTTCTTTAAGCAAACGAACAGAAAGAGCCCCCCAGTGGCACCTACCAGCCTCCTCGCACCTCCTTAGGGTAGTATCACCCACTTTGTCCTTGTCCCAGCCACTCACGAAAGATGTTATCACCCACTGTCCTGGACCTTGCAGATGTTCCGACTGCTCCAGTCATCTTTCTGGAACTCCCTCCTCCCTATGTCCAAGTTCAGCCAGAGTCACTTCCTAAGTCAACCCTCATGCCTACGAACCCTGCTGGCATTGCTGGTTAAGTTATTTTGACCTCACCCCTAAGCCTCCATTTGGGTTATATGGTATATTGTATTGAGCCCTGGGCCCTGCAAACAGGGTCTCTACTAATAGAAACTTGACATTTTTTTTTAAAAAAAAAAGAAGGAAAGCATTGTGTGTCACGAGGGCCTGCTTCCCTCTTTGCGGCTGTTACAGGGTCTACTTCCTCAAACCGCTGTCCTATTTCATCATTTCAGAAATTGTCTGCTGAGGTGCACTGGATTGCTTTGCTCGGGGCCTGATAGGAAATGGCACAATTTTACACTCTCCAGTTCTTCCTGTTCTTATTAATAGAATGCACTGGACCCTGAGCTAGTCAAGTGCTAAAGGGCCGTGTTAGCGCTTTTAATAGTCAGAGCAACCCTTGGAGGTTGCAGTGTGCTTCCCCATTTGAAAGGTGAGAGAACAGGAGCTTAGAGAAGTGGCGAACAGTGCCAGGAGGGGCTGACCCCCTTTTCCTTCTTGGCCTACTTCAGGCCGTATTCAGCCTTCAGGCTGGGCTTTCTCCTTTATGTCCAGTTGTCGAAGAAATTCCAGGATCCTGTAGCCTGGCAGGACCTTTACAGAGCATTACCTTTCCCTTCCTTTGTGGCTGATCTGAGGTAGCCTGAGGTACCCACATGGAACGGTCCAACTGCTGTGCAAGAAACTTCCGGAAACAACCCTTAGCACATTGCATGTGATAAGACTTTTTTTGTGATGTGTAGCCCATTTGTAAAATGCTCATTTTGACTCCTGACACCCCAGGAGCAGGTTCAGGCTCTTTTTTTTTCCTTTCCTTTTTGGACCAAACTCAGCAATGCCCCGGGCTTACTCCCAGGAATGACTCCTGGTGGTGCATGGGGGGCCATAAGCGATGCCAGGGATCGAACCCCGGTCTACTGCATGCAAGGCAAGCAATTTACTGCTATGCTATTGCTCCGGCCCCAGGTTCAAGCTCTTTGAGTCCAAGAGATCCATACTCATCTTATTTCAGTCAGCATGAGCATTTGCTGAAATAAGCTGGTTGGGGGAGGTGGGGAATATTGGGGAAGCATCTGAAAGAGTTGATGGTATGCACACCTTTTGCCTCCTCAGACCAGTTTCCTCTTCCATCCTTTGGTTTCCTTTTCTTTTTTTTCTTCTTTTTTTTTTGAGGGGTTACACCCAGCGATGCACAGGGGTTATTCCTGGCTCTGCACTCAGGAGTTACTCCTGGCGGTGCTCAGAGGACGATATGGGATGCTGGGAATTGAACCTGGGTCGGCCACATGCAAGGCAAACGCTCTACCCGCTGTGCTATTTCTCCAGCCCCCCTTTGGTTTCCTTTTCAAATTTTTAAATCTGATCAGGAACTGTAGCCCCTTCCTTTCTTTTTTTCTTTTTTTTTTTTCTTTTTGCTTTTTGGGTCATGCCCGGCGATGCTCAGGGGTTACTCCTGGCTCATGCACTCAGGAATCACTCCTGGCAATACTCGAGGGACCCTATGGGATGCTGGGAATCGAACCTGGGTCAGCCACGTGCTAGGCAAATGCCCTACCTGCTGTGCTGTCATTCCAGCCCTGCCCTTCCCTTTCTTACTTCCTTTAAATGGGCTCCTGACTGGGAACTCCCCTTCCTTCTCTCTCATGCCCAGCATGGTTTGATCGCTTCTCTATGGCTCGATAGCCCACTGATGGCCCTGTCCCCACAGGTAAAACCCCAGAAGAAGTGCTGAAGAAGTATCTGCAGAAAGTGCGACACCCACCCGATGAGGTGAGTGCCAAGAGAGTAAGTTGGGGGGTTCCTTGTCTTGGTCCCCCGCCAGTATTTTCTCCTGGGTCTCAGTTTGTTAAGTCTTGCTTGGTGCTCAGGTGGTCTGAGCTGGCACCCTGGCTCCCAGATGTCGTGCTGCAGTTACCTGTGAACCTCTCCAGCTCTCCATGCAGTTAAGAACTGAGGGAACAACCTCAACACAACAGTATGAATTTAGGAAAAATGGTTGGATCGGTGGGGACTGACTTTTTTGGTTGTTGTTGTTGTTGCTTTTTTGGGGTCAAACCTGGTGATGCACAGGGTTTATTCCTGGCTCTGCACTCAGGAATTACTGCTGGCGGTGCTTGGGGGACCATATGGGATGCTGGGAATTGAACCCGAGCCAGCTGTATGCCAGGCAAACGCCCTACCTGCTGTGCTATCACTCCAGCCCCGGGACTGACTTTTAAATGGGCTGGATATAGATCAGAGATTCTCAACCAGAGGTGATTTTGTTGGACTTAGGGGAGGCAGGAAGGAGCAGTGCTGGCATCTGGTGGTTAGAGACCGGGATGAGACTCAGCCCCGGATGGTGGGCACTCCAGCCCCCAAAGCAAAGTGTTCTCAGGCCCCAAATGTCAGTAGCACCAAGCAGAGCAACCCTCTTGCATATTTATTTAAATAGCGGCCCCATTGGTGCACCTGACATTTAGTTCCTTTGCCAAAGTTCAGCTTACATAAACCTCGTCCATGGGTCCATCAGCAAATGTTTGTTTCTTCCACAAATCACTTAAAGGGACATCAAAGAAGGACGGGGCATGGTCCCAGTCCTCAGAGTGATGGCAGCTTTCCTGGGGAGAGTCCCAAGTTAACAGGCCTCACCACCAGGCCTTCTTTTCAGAAACTTCTGTGTAGTGTCATTGAGACAAAACCATAGTGAGAGTTTCCAGATCGGATCCTGGCATTATGCCTTCTAAAAGAGGAGAAACCGCCACTCAGGGCCTTTGGGATCATTCAGGGGCCGCTGTGAAGATGTTCGGGCTCCCCAGGCATGGGGAGCATTGACGGCCTCTCCCCTCTGCCCTCACCTGCCTCAGGACTGCACCATCTGCATGGAGCGCCTCACAGCCCCCTCCGGTTACAAGGGCCCACAGCCGACCATCAAGCCTGACCTAGTTGGAAAGCTGTCCAGATGCGGCCACATCTACCACATCTACTGCCTGGTTGCCATGTACAACAACGGCAACAAGGTGAGTGCCAGCTCTGGGGCCCGGTGCTGGACCCCATCAGATTGAGAGCGTGATGAGCGTCCCTTGGATATGCACCCAGGTCATCTGGGGGAGTCATCAAGGGAACCCCTAGGCAGCATTGATGATCTCTGGTGTTCTCAAGAGGACCAGTCTTCCCCCAAATTGTAATATCGATGAAACCCACTTTTCTCTCCCCTTTGGGCTCCAACTCCCTGATCCCCCCAGTTTGTGTGTGGGGTAAAGTGGTGGGAAAGGTAGGGGTGTCTATTCCCAAGGATTCTGAGAGTGGATGGTCCATTGTTGTGACCCATTGAGATCAACAACGAAGGGTCAGGAAGGTTTTTTTGTTTCGTTTTGTTTTTTTAAATTTTATTGAATCACCATGAGATAGTTACAAGTTTACAACACGATCAAACACCCATTCCTCCACCAGTGCACATTCCCCACCACCAATATCCCCAATATCCCCAGTATACGCTCCCTACCCCCCTTTCCCACCCTTCCCCTGGCTCCATGGCAGACAATATTCCCCATACTCTCCCTCTACTTTTGGGCATTATGGTTTTCAATACAGACACTGAGAGGTTATCATTTTTGGTCTTTTATCTACTTTCAACACACATCTCCCATCCCGACCAGTTCCTCAAGCCATCTTTTTCTTAGTGATCCCTTCTCTATTCCAGCTGCCTTCTCCCCTTCGCTCATGAGGCAGGCTTCCAGCTACGGAGCAATCTTGGGTCAGAAAGTTTTTATAACAGTTTCAGACTCCTTGGTGCATTTTCATTTTCTTATCGCATACAGATTTCCCAATCCGCCTGCCTTCTCCAAGGCTGGTGATATTCAGTGATCATTTTTTTCCTTTGGACAATTTCAAGACATCCTGAAAGGCATTAGAGATGGTTTCCAAATATTCCTGGAAAAGTCCGTTTGAAGACCCCACTGTTGAGGAGGGAATGCAATCTGTGCCCCTCTTCTTGTTCATTAATAATGGTGAGGTGCTTCACCCCATCCCAACCCCCAAACCTCTGTTAAAGCTGGTGTCTAGAAATCTGGGAGTCTCTGAAGTTATTCCAGCCTTATAAAAACTGAGCGTTTTCTGAGTCCTCAGGTTTTCTCATGTTCTTTTCCATGGCTGGATAGACTTCATGTCCCTTCTCCAAAAGCTTTCAATCTTACTCATTTCTCCAGGTCCAGCCAGGAGAATCAAAAGCAGAGCATTCTCTGATATGCTGCCACTTCCTGCCTGTCTAGAAGGGGGGCATTCAGGGGCTGCTCAGAACTTCTCTTGTTGAAGGAAAGAAAGTGGGGAGGCAAGGGAATTGGAGATCCAAGATTGGATCCTGGCTTATTAGCTGGATTTTCAACCTCTCTCTCTCTATTTTTTTTTCTTTTTGGATCACACCCAGCGATGTTGATGCTCAGGGGTTACTCCTGGTTCATGCACTCAGGAATTACTCCTGGCCATATGGAATGCTGGGAATCGAACCCGGGTTGGCCGCGTGCAAGGCAAACACCCTCCCTGCTGTGCTATCGCTCCAGCCCCCTTGAACCTCTCTTGAGATTTCATGTCCTGTCTGGAAAATGGAGATAATAACAATACCTATTTTATAGGGATTACTACAGTTATTAATCGAATTGGTCTTGCCTTTGCATTTTGTTCCAGTCCCCCTATTTTTATGCAGTCCTCTGATTAAAGCTCCTAAAGAATTGTCTTTAGATCTTAGTGTCTCAGAGGGTACATGCTCCATTGCCGATGGCTGATGCATTTCTGGCTCCCGTGCTCACAGACTTCACTGGGAGTTTTCTTTTTGTGTTGCTTTGCCTTTGAAGCAATGCATGTAGCACATGGTACATTTCACACACGAATCCCCTTGCTGATGACTTTATTTAAATATTTACTTAAATTGAATATTTATTGAAATAAAAATAAATATTTGATTTAAATAAAGTCATCACCAAAGGGATTCACGTGTGAAAAGAAAAAGTAAGAAAAATGTAGTCTAGAATACTAGTCTGTAATGCTATCTGGATAACCTAGATTCATGCATTTATTCTTGTGGTGCTTCAATCTGTTTTCCAGACGTGCCCTATTCTCTTTTGCACGAATGCTTTGATTGAAGCACGCTTTTCAAATGCTCTTTGTATGAAAGGAAATGAAGAATCATGGGTCTGGGGTGAGAGTACAGTGGATAGGGTGCTTGCCTTGCATGTGGCCAACTTGGGTTCCATCCACGAAGGCCACGAGAAATGATCCCTGAGTGCAGAGCCAGAAATAAGCCCTGAGCATCACCAGCTGGCCCCAAAATAAAGAAAAACAAAAGTATTTTTTTAAAGGAGTAAAATAACCACCCTGAGCAGATAATTTGGGAGCAAAGAGTCTGGAGAAAAATGGCGTGATCCAACTCAAGGTCAAAGAACAAGTCAAAAGTCAGAGCAGAGAGTGAAATCTAGACTTGTGAACTCAAGCCCTGGGTTCTGTCCTTTGTAACTTTCCCCTCATCCCAAGTACAAGCTGTTCCTCTAACTGAGTAGAAGTTGAACAGGAATGTCCCTAAGTAGCCCCAGGAGACCTTGCCTCCTGAGCATGTGATGGCCCATGTCCTACAGAGCTTTGGTTCAAGCTGTGCATGTAGCCCATGCAGCGTCGACTTGTGCTCACCTCCTCGGATTTAGCATCTTGGCCTTGATCTCGCCTCCAAGTGACCCCTCACCAGACCCTGCTGACAAGCCATGCCCCCAGGTGTCACCACATCCAGAGTCCTCCCCCTCCTCTCAAACCAAGTCTCCGAGGATTAGAATAGACCCACTAATGTGCTCCCCCACCTTTCTAAGCCAATTCATCATAACTGTTTTTCAAGACAACTTGGCTTATGCGAGCGTAAGGCACCCGGTTTCTCTGTTCATTCAGGAGCTGTTCCAAACCCCTCTGGGTGTTGAGATGCCTCCGAAGTCATAACGCACAGTTAGGATCGCTTGCTGCTCACTTCTATAAATTTAACTCCTGCACACAACTCAGAGAACGTAGATGCTGTGAGGTACCATGCTCTAGAAGGAAATTGAGATCCAGAGAAGTGATTTGATTTGTCCACGGTCACCCAGTAGATCAGTGGCAGAGCGGGGAATCAAATCCTGATACATTGCCTTCAGAATCCACAGTTGTAGCCAGTACTTTCTGCTTCTACCCACTCAGTTTCATGGGGCTTGTGTGGAGCCCAGGGATATTTTTGGAGGGTGTCAGAGGTCTGATGGACACTCCCATACTCTACCTGGCAATGTGGTGCTGGTGTTGAAACTCAGGGCCTCGTGGCTACAAGCTCTCTATGCCCCAGCCTTTTGAGATATTTCTTCTTCCCCATGTTTCATTTTCATGAGCTTCTTGGTGATTCTGATGCGTAGAGGGGGACTGTTGCTCCATAGAACTCATTGCCTGCTCCACTAATTGATGCTTAGTAGCTAATTATTCCCAATGCATTCTTTCTGGCCTAGTAAGAGGTCTCTGTCTGGATGGCAGTCTCTCTCACATCCCTTAGCATGGAAGATGCTTATGAAATTAGCTCCTGTTACTTTGTTTTTTTAATATATTCTTATTTTATTTATTTATTTTTTACAGGAAAATATATCTTTATTATAACTATGGAATAAAACATAAGTCTATATATAAACCTATTTTTAAAACAGACTCAACATAGCTATTTTAAAAGGGAATAAGGGAGGGACAAGGGCCTACCAATATAGTGCAAGAATTATATAATTTGTGGTTTTCTGCATACAAAAGTCTTCTGAGTTTCTAGAGTTTTTTTTTTTTTAATTTTTTAATAGTGAGACATCATGAGGTACAGTTGCAGACTTACATATTTTTGTGCTTGGGTTTCAATTATACAATGATCAAATACCCATCCCTTCACCAGTGCCCATTTTCCACCACCACGGATCCCAGTATTCCTCCCACCCCCCATCCCCCCATCCCACCCTGCCTCTGTGGCAGGGCATTCCCCTCTGTTCTCGTTCTCCTTTTGGGTGTTGTGGTTTGCAAAAGAAACATTGAGTGGCAATCATGTTTGGTCTATAGTCTACTTTCAGCATGCTTCTCCCATCCTGGGAGGATCCTCCCAACACCTTTATTTGGTGTTCCCCTCTTTATCTGAGCTCCCTTTTCCCCTAGTATGTGTGGTTGGCCTCCAAGTCATGGAGTAAAATTCCTGGTACTAATCTCGGCCATTCTTTGGTGTTAGTTTCCTTTGAGCCCTCTGTTACTTTGGAGAAAGCAGAAATGTCCTAGGAAGCCAGGAACGAACGTGAGAGAGACTGAGGTCTAGTCCTTATTGAATTGCTTTCTTGTCCTCCTGACCCTTTTTAATCCATGGTGCCCTTTGGGGTTGGGTGGGACGATCATTGACCCAAAACGTTTTTCTAATCTGATGCTTCTGGCCTTCTCTCCTCAGGATGGGAGTTTGCAGTGTCCAACCTGTAAGACCATTTATGGGGTGAAGACGGGCACCCAGCCCCCCGGGAAGATGGAGTACCACCTCATCCCTCACTCTCTGCCTGGTCACCCTGACTGCAAAACTATCAGGATCATCTATAGCATCCCTCCTGGCATTCAGGTTTGCACACACTTTGCTCTTGACTTTCATCTTTTAGGTTCATGTGTCTGTAGGTAAACTTGTTTTTCCCTCAGTTGAGATAACTGTAGCAAATTACCATAGTTGAGGCAGGTTTTAAAGAAAGAAAATTATTTATTTCTATTTCTCTCCTCCTGGAGGATGAATAACCAAGACCAGGCTTCTGGCATATTCAGTGTCTGGGGAGCACCAGTTTCGAAGTCCATGGGTTTCTTCTTGCTGCATTCTCACAAGGCAACAGTCTGAGGGAGTTTCTAAGAGTCTCTTTTATCAGGGCAATAATTATTCAGAAGGACTTTACCTCCCTAGAAGCCCCCATCTCAAATACCATTGTCTTCAGGATGAGACCAACAGATATATTTGTTTTGAAGTTTCATAAACTTCTTTCAATTGATAGCATTGCTTTTCCCCAAATGTATTCCCTTTTTTGCTTGTAAAAGGCTCTCATTCCACCCCCTAACGACACCAGTCTTTTTTTTTTTTAAATGTATGTTTTGGGCCACACCTGGCAGTGCTTAGGGCTTACTCATGGCTCTGCTCTCAGAAATCAGTTCTGGGAGGAGGGTTGAGAGACCATAGGGGGTCCCGGGGATAGAGTACTGGTCCACTGCATGCAGGGCAAATGATCTATCCTCTGTATTATTGCTCCAGCCCCAAGTCCCTGAAATCTTAACTCATGACAGTACAGTGTGAGTGCCCAGAGTCTCATCTCAAGATCCTCCAAATCAGACCTGGCCCAGCCTCAATGCCTAACTCCCCCGCCCCGAGGCAAGCTCCTCTCCACTCACCAACCTGTGAGAGCCAAGAAGTTGTGTGGGCAAGTATCTCTTCCAGACACTGACTCTTGGACTTCTGGCCCCCCAGAACCGAGGAAAGTCAACTGATGTCATTGAAAAACCACCCAGTTGATATAGTCTTGTTACAGCCCGAAGGAAATGATGCTCTTCTCTGAAAAGTTTTCTACTCTTGTCACCATCCACCCAGCCTCCTCTTCCCCCCCCACTCTCCACCATCTCACTCCGTCTTTCTTCCTTTCTCATGTACTTCCCAAGACCCTTTGTGCTTCGGCAACAAAGACTGCCTCCACCCCTCCCATTTTTACACAAAGGGTGGTACAGGAGACACTTTGTTCTCACCCGCCAGAACAATATAGTCTGTCGATCTTTTCATGTTCCTATAGAGGGGAGCTTCCTCATACTTCTTGAGTCTGTGTAATAATCCATTGTATAAATGAACCATAATTTAGGTTCAACAGTCTCTGTTTGATGGGCATGTGGATTGTTTCCAATCTTTCACCACCACCCATAAGGCTATAATGAATAACCTGGGGAGCGAGTGGGTGAGAGTCCATCTGTAGAGTTATTTTCTAGGAGTGGAATTTGTCAAATGATATTTGCATTTGTAACTTGAGAGATCATTCCTTGGCTTTGATTTTCATGGATTGTTCTTTCCTGCTCTGATCCTCCTAAGAAACACATTGAGGACTATTCCTGACAGTCAGTGTTAATGTTTGCCTTCCTTGAAACTTTTTCAAAAGGTTTTGGCATGCTAACTGAATTCACTGATTGAGCAAATATTTATTCATTCGCCTTTCCACCCCCCCACCCCTCCCTTTTTCCATTTTGTCATTGTGTTTTGGATTATTACACACGCAGGTGTGTGCTCTGTACTGGAGAGACATGGGTGAACAAAACACTTAATCATTGCTCCCCTAATGCCCCCATTCTGATGGGACAAAAGAAGATCATAAAGAAAAGAAATGCCTGAGGTACTTCTAAATGGTCATCAGTGACATTGGGTTGACTGAGAGAGGCAAGTGTGAGGAATAGTGAAAAGTGAAAGAGATGAATAAAAATGATGATTCTTCTTTTAGGGTCTTACCAGCCAGTAGGGGAAAATATCTCCAAGAGCAGAAAATGCGGAAGGGAGGCAGAGTTGCCAAAGGCCACATATCTGATGAACTCACTTGCAGTTCTGGGTCTAACTTTTATCACCCTACAAAAATACCTTTTCTGAGGGAATATGTGTGTGTGTGTGTGAGTGTGTGTGTGTGTTGAGGGAATATGTGTGTGTGTGAGTGTGTGTGTGTGTGTGCGTGTGTGTGTGTGTTTGTGTGTGTGTATGTATTCTGATCTGTACACTTGTGAACTAATATAATATAAAATTAGGAGCAGGTTCCATTTAAATATCGTCCTGAGTCTAGTAGAGGGGTGCTTTGTACCTGGCCATGCTCACTATTTCTTTTTTTTTCTTTTTGGGTCACACCTGGCGATGCACAGGGGTTACTCCTGGCGGTGCTTGAGGGACCATATGGGATGCTGGGAATTGAACCTGGGTTGGCCACCTGCAAGACAAATGGCCTACCCATTGTGCTCTCGCTCCAGCCCCAATGCTCACTATTTTGAGTCACCGACTTGTCAAGGAAGGAGGAAGACTTAGGTTCAGCTGATAGGGGGTCTCCGAGGAGACTTTTATCATAGGATGCTCAACTAGTTGCATCTGAGAAATGGAGGAGAGTGTTCCTACGTGAAGGTTTCAGCCAAAGAGTTGCCCAGGAGAGAAAAAGTGTGTGTGGAAGGGCTGGAAGGAAGAGTTCCAGCTGGGGCGTCCAGTCCAAGGTCATGATTTCCATGCGGTGCCTCTGTCTCTGGAAGCCTGGGCTTCAGTGGGGAGGTGAGCCGCTCTGCTTTCACTGCAGAGGATGCGTCCCCGGGGGAGGATCTCTGAGCCGGGCAGCCAGAGTCGTGACTGGCCCACTTAGCAGCGTGCCGAGAGTGCAGAGATTTACTGGAGCAGAGCCAGCGCCGGGCAGGAGAGGAGCAGGCAGAGCCGTGGTCAGAACTGGCTTCTTGCACAGGCTTAGAGAGAGCCGAGGCCCAGGGAATGTTGGTTGGGAATGCAGAGCAATTTCCTGGGACTACGGAGGTCAGAGCTGTGAAGCCCAGTGGCTCCAAGAAGACACTGTTATCGCTAACAGTTCAGTCCTCTTTCCCCTCTCCAAGACCTCACTGCCTTGTCCTACTGTGGAGTTTGCCAGATCATTGCACAACCAGAGGGTCTGCAGTCCAGCTACTCACCCCCCCCCCAAATTGCATAATTTAAAATCATGTGGGAAGCTCAGTTAAAAAAAAAGTGAAATAAAATCTTGAAGCTTGATCATTTTCTCCTTCGTTCATACATGCATAAGTTCACTGATTCGCTTATGTAGCCAGGATGCATTACTTATCATTTATGTGAGAACAAGTGCCAACAGCAGAATGGGATGTATATTTGTGCCAGCTAGAAGAGTCAGGATGCTCAAAAATTAGGCAAGTGTGTGTGTGTGTGTGTGTGTGTGTGTGTGAGAGAGAGAGAGAGAGAGAGAGAGAGAGAGAGAGAGAGAGAGAGAGAGAGAGAGAGAGACAGTGTTACTGGGAGAAAATGATTTCATCTTTCATGTAATTCTCAAAGGGGCCTATGAATCCTTCTGAATCCTAATTTAGGAAGTCAAGTTCTTGGTTAAATTCTTCAGTGTTTTCCTCACCTGCTGGTGATGGACTGCTTGCTCAGTAGGGTGTTGACTTACACCGTGTTCATGACAGCATTATTTGCAATAGCGAAGACATAGAAGCAACCTAAATGTCTAGCAATAGGTGAATGAAAAAATGATATATATCTATATATTATATTGAAATATCATTCAGACTTAAAAAATAAAATCTTGCCATGTGCGATAATGTGGATGAACTTTGAGGACATTATGATAGGTGGGATAGTGAAAAGAAAAGACTAGATGATTTTACTCCTGTGTGCGTGGAATTATAAAACAAGGCAACACCAAACTCAAAAGATGCAGAAAACCTCTTTTGGTGGCTGCCAGAGGCCAGAATGGGGCTGTAGTGGTAGACAGGTGAAAGGGTTCCAGTGGTACCAGCATCCGAATATAGGGAAAAATGAAGTCATGAAATTTTTTTATCAGTGGATGGACATGGAGAGAATCATGGTAAATGAAACAAGTCAGAAGGAGAGGGACTCATTTATGGGCTATAAAGAAACAGTATAAAACGAATACCCAAGGACAGTAGAAACAAGGGCCAAGAGGATTGGTCCATGGTTGGAAGCTGCCTCAAGTGATGGGGAGAAGGCAGTTGGTATAGAAAAGGGACCACTATGACAAAGATAGTTAGAAATGATCACTTTGCATAAGAACTGCATGCTGAAAGTAGGTAAAGTAACAAACATGGTAACTTTTCAGTATCTGTATTGTAAACACAGTATCCAAAAGGAAAGAGAAGGAGAGAGAGAAAGAAGAAAAGTATCTCCTATAGAGACAGACTGGGTTGGGGGGAGGGGTGGTGGAAAAGAAGCTGGGTACATTGGTGGTGAAAATGTACACTGGTGGAGGGATGAATGTTGGAATGTTGTATGACTGAAATCCCATCATGAACAGCTTTGCAACTGCACCACTTTTTTTTTCTTTTTGAGTCACACCCAGCATTGCACAGGTGTTACTCCTGGCTCTGAACTCAGGAATTACTCCTGGCGGTGCTTGGGGGACCATATGGGATGATGGGAATCGAACCTGGGTTGCCAACATGGAAGGCAAATGCCCTACCCGCTGTGCTATCACTCCAGCCCTGTAACTGCATCTCAGAGTGATTCAACTGAAAAAAAAAAAAAAAAGCCCATGTGCCTCATAGTGACTATTGTGAAGACTGTCCTGGGAAGCTACTAAGAGATTTAATAGATGTTAGAAATTCTCCTTTGGAGCCTGGGGTTGGGCTCAGAGGCAGAGGACTTGCTACAGAAAAATGAGTTTGAGGCCTACTCGTCACCTCCCCCACACGCCAGCATGATCTCAGCAGGAATGAGATTTTAAATTCCTGGTGCCACAGTGGAGCAGGAGAATTCAGGGAGCCGAGAATGCACGCCCCACCCCCAGCCCATCCCAGCAACAACAGAAGAAAAGTATCTTCGCTAATTAAACAAAACAAATAAAACAAGGAGAAACAGGTGCTCCACAAAATTGTGAAAGTAGCCCAGAGGGCCAGAAAACAAATAACAAGAACCACCAAGATGCATCGTAAGAAAGAAAATTTTGGAAAGGATGTGAGGGGATTGAGGTTAACTGAATGTCTCGTGGCGATGATTTCTCCATGTCTACAGATACTGATTAGTGTACATTTATAATTTGATGCTGTTTGTCAGTTCCTTCCCAATTTAAAAATAAGGGTTTGGAATAATGTCAATTTAAATGTTGTTGAGAAGGGTTGAAGTGGTCAGTTTTCTAATCTGTATTGTGAAATAGAAAAGCAAACAAAAACCTCCAGGAAAAACATTGGAGAACATCCATGAGAATCATTCAGAGAAGTAGGATGGCCTGACTCAAGGCTTGAAAACATTTTTTGGTTGTTGTTGTTCTGAGGTGCTTTGAGTTTAATAAAAAAAGTCCTGAGGTACCTCAGGTAACCTGGGCTTTTAAGCTTTGGCAAAGTCATTGATGTTATGGAAATTATTAATTAAAAATTAATTAATTTTAATTAATTTAATTAAAAATGCCCTGGACTATAGTTTTTTTTTCTTGCTTTTTGGGTCACACCCGGCGATGCTCAGATGCTCAGGAGTTACTCCTGGCTCATGCACTCAGGAATTACTCCTGGCTGTGCTAGGGGGACCATATGGGATGCTGGGAATCGAATTTGGATCGGTCATGTTGGCTGCGTGCAAGGCAAATGCCCTACCCGCTATGCTATTGCTCCAGCCCCTGGACTGTAGTTTTAGTCACTTTTTGGGGGGGGGTTACACCCGGCGAAGCACAGTGGCTCATGCACTTAGGAATTACTCCTGGCGGTGTTCGGGGACCATATGGGATGCTGGGACTCGAACCTGGGTCCATCGGGTGCAAGGCAAACGCCCTACCCGCTGTGCTATCGCTCCAACCCCTGTAGTTTTAGTCTTTTAGGAAAAAAAAATAAAGTGCCAGAATAGATGGCAATGGACAATTATGATCGTGATGATGATGATGGGGGTTGGGAGGAGCGATGACAAAGGAGACTGTGATGAGAATGACAATGATGAGAAAGGTGATGATTGTCACAGTGTTGACAATGACAGTGGTGCAAGCATAAGCTTTGACTGAGTTCTTACTCTGCACCAGCTGCCAGACTCGTTGCATCTGTACTGAGACTCTGCATCCTCCCAGTTTAACAGATGGGGCTCAGGCGAGCACAGCAGCTCTGAGAATCACAACTTGGCTTCTGTTGAATGATTCCTCACTCTGCCCTTTTTGAATGATTCCTTGTGCAGACTCCGTTATTCTTGCCATCGTCATTTGCATTATTAGGTGCTGCCTTCACAACACCTTCTGTCCCCATCAGAAAATCTTTTGAAAAATGCCCTTTTCTTTCTGTTTGCTTTCAGGGACCAGAACACCCAAATCCCGGGAAGAGTTTCAGCGCCCGTGGCTTCCCAAGACACTGTTATCTTCCGGACAGCGAGAAAGGGAGAAAAGTAAGGCCAGGGGTTTCAGGCTAGGGCTTAGGCATTTGTCTCTGTGGCAGGGCTTCAGGATTTGCTTCTCTTGCTGCATAGGCCAAAGAGGCCTGCAGGCTGGGGATGTAGAGGAATATTGCAATAGCTTAAAACCTGGGGCTGGAGCAATAGCACCGCGGGTAGGGCGTTTGCCTTGCACCCGGCCGATCTGGGTTCGATTCCCATCAGCCCATATGGTCCCCCGAGCACTGCCAGGAGTAATTCCTGAGTGCATGAGCAAAAAAAAAAAGCTTAAAAACTCCTGCCTTGCAAGCTTATTTGTGGTCATGCGTTCAAGTCCTAAGTGACCTCCCGTGTACCAAGCCTGTTCCCAGCAATTGAAAAAAATGAATAACAAAGAAAGAGAACTGGGTCTCTTTGAATTCCAGTCAAACATGTAACAGGGTCACAGTTGAGTCAATTATATACAAGGGTGGATAGGAATCTATTATTTTTCCTTCTTCTGTAGTGTGATAGGGGAAAAGGCTTTTGGCTTTTTCCTGTCCAGGAAATTACTGGCGATGATTTGTCTCTATTAGCATTTTTTCCTCAAGGACTTGGCTGCATCGCAGCTGGTTCTGGGACCAGCCCCAGGAGTGACACGGAGGAGTCTGATAGAAATGCAGACTCTTTAGCATAAGCTTCTTTTTAACGAGATCCTGGGTGATGGAGTAGCACATCCAACTCTGAGAAACTCTGCTCTGGGGCAAAGGTTTAAATTGGTGAGATTATTCCTTTGATGTACTTTTGTGTTCTTTGACCTTCCCCCCCAGACTAGCCAACGAAGAGAAGATACTGGGGTTCCTGGATCCCTTAGGGTTCTTTGTTAGGCTCTAGGGAACTGTGAACTCTAGAATTAGACTCATGTTTATTTTGGGCTTTAGTTTTTGGTCATGCTTGGCAGTGCTCAGGCTTCACTATTGGCTCTGTGCTCAGGGGATCACTCTTGGAGTTGCTCAGGGGACCATATGGGGCGCTAGGGATTGAACTGGGATCAACCAGGTACAAGGCAAGAATCTTAACCTCTGTACTAACTCTCTGGCCCTTTATTTATTTATTAATTTATGTAATATTAATCTTCCATTTTATTGAATCACCGTGAGACAGAACATTACGAAGCTGTTCTTGATTGGGTTGCAGTCATACAATGTTCCAACATCCATCCCTCCACCAGTGTAATTTCCCAGCACCAGTGTCCCAAGTTTCCCTCACACCTCACCCCCAAATTGCCCCCACCCCCACCTGCCTCTCTGGTAGGCACCCCTCTTATCTCTCTCTGTCTCTGTCTCTCTCTCTCTCCTCTTTCTCTCTCTCATTATAGGCATTACAGTGTGCAGTACAGATGCCGAAAGGTTATCATGTCTATCCCTTTACCTGCTTTCAACACTCCGTTCTCTGGCCCTTTAGACTACACATTTTTCAGGTCCTATTTTTTGCCTGTGGATTAGGTCAGAAAATGACTGGATTTCCCATACCTTCCTGGATCACCAAAGAGAGGAAAACCATTGACTTAAGGGGGATGTCGGACCCTTTCTTGCGGCAGCACTGGGAAACCGTGGGACTGAAGGTCCTCTTTAGCCCCCTCCCCCAGCTTTCTCTAGATCCCGCCACTTAGCATACAGCTTCTCTCGTCTTTGCATCTGGCCATAATTCTCTCCGGCACTGTGCGTGCCTGTGTCTGTGGCTTGGTTTAGCTGCCGTGGTGGGTCAGTTTCAGTCTCTTCCATGCGTTTTTTCATTTTGGGATTGAGGCTGAAGCACAGACCCTTCTTGGTCCGGGCCCTTTCTCTGCAAGGGAAGGAGAGGAACTGGGGGTGGTGGGTGGTGAATGGTGGGATGAGGTGGGGGAGGGGAAAGAAAACCAAGCAGCCTGTCCCTAGCACTCATATTTCACAGTCCCAGCCAGGCTCGGCTCGGAGGAGCCACTGTCAGGGAGAGAGGCAGGCGGTCTACAGGGCGGCGCCTCCTGGCACAGGAGGATGGATGAGTCCCTTATCTCACTGGGCAGGAAGCAGAGAGACGAGAACAATGAGATAATCAACCACATGATGAAGTACCATGTGTCCAGATGGGGAATCATGCCAGTACCAATGCCTCTTAGTCCCAAACAGGTAGATTTTTTTTCCCCCTAGACTCATGACATACCCTTTTTTTTAAAAATTAATTTTTATTAGTGAAACACCATGAGGTACAGTTGTAGACTTACAAATTTTTGTGCTTGGGACATACCCTTTTAATTGTATTAATTTCATGAAAAACGTAGTGTTACTTTTTTTTTTATTAAAAAAAACGGAATCTGGGGCTGGAGCGATAGCACAACGGATAGGGCGTTTGCCTTGCACGTGGCCAATCCGGGTTCGATTCCCAGCATCCCATATGATCCCCCAAGCACTGCCAGGAGTAATTCCTGAGTGCGGAACCAGGAGTGACCCCTGTGCATCAATGTGTGTGATCCTAAAAGAAAAAAAATGGAATCACCATAAGATACACAATTACAAAGTCGTTCATGATGGGGTTTCAGTCATACAAAGTTCCATCATCCATCCCTTCTCCAGTGTTCATTTCCCACCACCAATGTTCCCAGTTCCCCTCGGGTTCCCCTCCCCCCACCTTACCTCTATTGGCAGGCACTCTTTTTTATTTATAAAACTGAAAAAAGTGGTTTTTTTCTTTTTAGTTATTTATTTATGATTTTTCTTTTTGGGTCACACCCAACAATGCTCAGGGATTACTCCTGGTTCTGTATTCAAGAATTACTCCTGGCGGTGCTTGAGGAACCAGAAGGGATGCTGGGAATTGAACCTGAGTCTGCCATGTGCAAGGCAAACGCGCTACCCACTATCCTTCTATACTATCTTCGGCTCCAGGAGATACTTTTCTTTTTTTTCTCTGTCTCTGTCTCTTTCCTTTTGGGTATTATGATTTGCAGTAAAGGCACTGAAAGGTCATCATGTTTGTCCTTTTACCTCCTTTCAGCACTCAGTTCTTGTCCAGAGTGATCATTTCCAACCATCTTTGTCATAGTGGTCCCTTCTCTATCCTAGCTGCCCACCCCCCACACTGGTGGCAGGCTTCCAACCATGGGCCAGTCCTCCTGGCCCTTGTTTCTACTGTCCATGGGTATTATTAGACACACTATCAAACAGGTAGATTTTTGTGTGCATGTGCTGGGGCCCTGAATCCACAGTGCTAACTGCTCTTAATCGTTCCCTTATCAAGATATGCTATTAAAATTGGCACCCTCTTGCCAAGAACTGGTCCTCTTCCAAAGCTCCCTCTCCCCTTAACTACTCCAAGTTAATTCTGTTAGATTCTGGTTGGCATCCAGAACCCCTGAGATTTAATAGAGCCTATTTATCCTCTTGGATTCTTGCTCTGATTCAATGTACCTGCCCAGTCTGTATTCCTTGGCTCTCTTCTGCACACCCTCCCTCCGCACCCCATCCACTGTACTCTTTTTCTGATTTTGCCATTGCCAGCTCAGTTAATACTTCCCTCCTCTACTGGTCCCAGTGATTTGTGATACTGATACAGTTTCTAGACTCAAGCTGCTGCTGCTGCTTCTTCTTCTTCTTCTTCTTCTTCTTCTTCTTCTTCTTCTTCTTCTTCTTCTTCTTCTTCTTCTTCTTCTTCTTCTTCTTCTTCCGTCATCCTCCTCCTCCTCCTCCTCTTCTTCTTCTTCCATTCTCTTCATCCTCCTCCTTATCCTCTTCTTCTTCCATCCTTTCCCTCTTCCTCCTCCTCCTCCTCCTCCTCTTCTTCTTCTTCTTCTTCTTCTTCTTCTTCTTCTTCTTCTTCTTCTTCCTTTCTTCTTCCTCCTTCTCCTCCTTTTTTCTCTTCTTCTCCTCCTCCTCCTCCTCTTCTTGCTCCTCCTCATCTTTCTCTCTCTCTATTTTTTAGTAAAAAGTTTTAATTGAATCACTGTGAGATGGACCCTTACAAAGCTGTTCATGATTAGGTTTCATTCAGTGTTCCAACACCCAACTCTTCACCAGTGTACATTTCCCAACACCAGTGTCCCCAGATTTCCTCCCATCAACCCCAGCCTGCCTCTGTGGCAGGGGTAGACACTTCTTTCTCTCCCTCTCCCCTATCTCTCTCTCTCTCTCTCTCTCTCTCTCTCTCTCTCTCTCTCTCTCCCCCCTCACCCCCCGCCCGCCCCCCCACCGCATTGGGCATTGTGGTTTGCAGTACATATACTGGAAAGTTATCATGTCCATCCCGTGACCTACTTTTAACAGTTCTTGTCCATTGTGATCCTTTCCAACTATTATTGTCATACTGGTCCCTTCTTTATCTTATCTACCCACACATACTTGTTTAAAAAAAAGTTAGAGAAAAAACTAGAAGAACACTCAGAAAATATTTTTGATGGGTTTTCCTTCCTCTTCATTCACAAAGCACAATCTTCCCAGCTTATTCCTGCATGTACCTGAGCTTTCTCTTCTGTCTCCCTCCCCACCCTTCATGTCTGATTCTCCCAGAGCCTGGCCTTGGACCCCTCTCCAGAGAGGGAGAGTCAGGAGCATTGCAGCCACACTATCTGGACCTGCGTGTTCACTCTTCTGCTCACTGGGTGTCCCCACCCCCTCCCACCCCCCGTCTTGTCCTATCCTGCCTCCCAGACTTAGCTCAGAAGCATCCTCCTCCCTAAATTAACTCCATCTAGATCCTCATCTGAGAGCCAAGAGAAGTTCCATTGTGAGATCTGAGTACCAAATAAAATTTAATGCCACGTCCTTTAGATTCCAGAGTTGAAAACCTACTTATGTAAATGAGAATACACGCTTTTATTATATTTTATTAAATGATTTTAGTTTCCTAATTTACATAGGTCAAAATCATATAGCAGTCGCAAATGGGCTCTTATAGATTCATTTTCTGATCTTTCTATGGGCCATTTCTTTATGTTTTGTTGGAGCAAGCACTATAAAGTAAATTTGTTATGTGCTTCAGGGGTGGGAGGGAGACTCGGGACATTGGGAGGAAAGGTCACAGGATGGTTTTGGAACACTAAACGCCTGGAACAATTGTATTACAAAAAACTCTGTGAATCATGGTGTTTTCGTCAAAATTAATTTTTTAATTTTTTATTTCATGAAGTAGCAGTGTCGCACCATCCTCCCGTTGTTCATCGATTTGCTCAAGCAGGCACCAGTAAGTCTCCATTGTGAGACTTGTTACTGTTTTTGGTGTATCGAATACACCATGGAGAGCTTGCCCAGTTCTGCCATGAGGGCGGTATATTCTCGGTAGCTTGCCAGCCTCTCTGAGAGGGATGGAGAAACTGAACCCAGGTCAGCTGCGCACAAGGCAAACACCCTACCCACTGTGCTATCACTCCAGCCATTTTATAAAGTAGTTCACAATATTTGATTACATTTATATTCAAACACCAAGCCCACCACCATTACTAAACCTTACCACCACCATATTTCAGGTGTTTCTATCCCAAACCCCAGTCCTTGCCCCAAGGCCAAACCGGAATAAATCACTGTCACTGTCACTGTCCTCCCATTGTTCATCGATTTGCTCAAGCGGGCACCAGTAACGTCTCCACTGTGAGACTTGTAACTGAAATAATGCATCAAAATAAATTAAAAGAAAAAAAGTATTGGTGTTGATTGTAAGCCGGAAGCTCAGACCCTTCCCTACCCACGAGTTGTGTGACCAGGCTGGATGTGTACCCTTAAGTCTCTGCCTCTTCCCCTGCAGAGAGGAGAGCATGACAACACCTCTGTCTATGGTTTGCTTCTATTTTTGTGTTTGAGCCACTCTCTAGTGTTCAGAGTCTCCTCCTGGCCTGTTGCTCAGGGCTTGCTTCTGGCAGTGCTCGGGAGAGCGAGCCTGCAGTGCTGGGGAGTGAACCTGGGCCTCCTGCCAGCTCCGCCCGTGTTCCAGCCTCTTTGGTTCTCTGTTGGTCCCTGAGAATACGTGTCCACCTGTCTATTCTGATTGTCGTAACCAAGACCCATTGCCTGGTGTTTAGGAAACACTCAGGTCAAGGTCGCTGCTGTTTCTCAGGTCTGCTGTTATTATCACTCCTGTGGTATTGAGGCCCAGCTCCCTGCCCAGACCAGGCCTATCATCATTCTGATTGGAACCCAGTGCTTTTTTTGTTTTTTTTGGCTTTTTGGGTCACACCTGGCAATGCACAGGGGTATTTACTCCTGGCTCTGCACTTAGGAATTACCCATGGTGGTGCTCAGGGGGCCATATGGGATGCTGGGAATCGAACCCAGGTTGGCTGTGTGCAAGGCAAACACCCTACCCACTGTGCTATTGCTCCAGCCCAGGAACCCAGTGCATTTATAATCAACTGATTGTATATGCTGGACACTGTGCTGGGACCAAAGCTTGTGATGAGTTATTAGGCATCTCCCCCCACCCCCCCACTATTTTTTTTTTATCGAATCACTATGAGATACAGTTACAAAACTTTCATGTTTTGAGTTTTAGCCATAGAATGATCAAACCAGTGCACATTTTCCACCACCAATGTCCCCAGTATCACCCCCCCACCCCATGGCACGCCTCCCCCTGCCTCTATGGCAGACAATTTGCCCCACTCTACTTTTTTTTTGGTAAACTCCTTTCTTACTCTACAAAGTATAAGGGGAAAAGAAGCTGAATTTGTAAGGCCTGACCCCTTTTTGGGCCTCCCCTATAGAGCAGGGACGATGAGACACCCTGCCATACTGGCCTCCAAGTGTGGTTCTAATGACCAGATGAGCGAATGACTATGAAATGGTATGGAAGGAGGTCATGGCGCTTCAACCGTGTCGCTGAGGAGCTGTGCCCCAGCTGTCACTGTGGATGTATTAATCCCACACTTGGGTGCTGTTGGGAGTGCTGGGGAGTGGGGGTGGGGTAGGGAGGTCACAGCCTCAGAGAACCTCCGATTACGCATGTCTCCAAATGCCTCCCTCCTGCCTTTGATATTGTTTTATTTTGATTTTTCAAAATTTCGCGTTGCAGTGATTTTTAATTGAGGTCATGTCGTTCACACTGTTGTCAGTGGGCCCGCGGGTGACTCATGTGAAGTGGGGAAGAGAAAGACAGTCACTCTCTACCCATCCGCCTGTGCCACCCAGGACACAGAGTTACTTGGTTCTTGTCTCGCCTCGCAGAAAGGAATTTCAGGAGTAGACGAGCAGTGAAATTGCAGTTTTTATTGGAGGTTTTGAAGGAAGGAGGGATAGAAAGTGGGAGAGAATGGAGAGCAATGTACTCAATGCAGGCTTCTCCAAAGGCAGAGAGAGCCCCTACACACATCCCAGCATGAAAGCATGAAAGTACACATCTCATGAGGCGAGGGGGCTGGAGCGATAGCACAGTGGGTAGGGCGTTTGCCTTGCACGCAGCCAACATGGCCGACACAGGTTCGATTCCCAGCACCCCATATGGTCCCCTGAGCACCGCCAGGAGCAATTCCTGAGTGCATGAGCCAGGAGTAACCCCTGAGCATCGCCGGGTGTGACCCAAAAAAGCAAAAAAAAAAAAAGAGGTGAGATGCAGGCGACACATATGCTCATCCACATGGAATCAAGCAGCAAGTGAGCTCAGGCAGCCTCTGTGCACGCCTCCTTTGCTCAAGGTGGCCTTTATAGAGTATCTCCAACCTGCCCCCACCTGGGGCTTCTACCTAGGTCCAAGTCCATTCTTAAGGAGGCTACCAAAGGGGTAGAGTGGGGAGTGGTGATGGTCTTCTTTGAAATTCCTTTCCTGGCCTTTTGTTCCTGATGGAGCTTCGGTCAAGTTGGGTCCAGCTTCTCAGGGTCTGTTAGGACTGGCACACCAGTTCTCCACGAGATCAGGGCTATAATTTACCAGGAAATTTACTGCCATTGCCCTGGGAGGGGGCTTTGCCTATCTGCCTGCCTGCCTACATCAACCCCATTTTCTGTGTTCTTTCTGCTTGTAATGCCTCTTCACCACCCTACTGCCCAAGGGTCAGTTACTCCCCACTCTGGGTCAAGGTCCTTGACTCCGTATCTTCCTCTGTGGCCACTTCACTGACTGTCGGGACTGCTTCACACTGTCTCTGAGAGATCGCAGCTCTGCTGCTGGGATCTCCTGTTAGTGTCTGGACCCGACGTGGCCATGTGCTCACCCCCTCTCTCAATTGTACAATATTTTTTTTTTACTTTTTTCTTTTTTTTTGCATTTGCCTTGCACGCAGCCAGCCCAGCTGAGCCGGGTTCGATTCCTCCGCCCTCTCAGAGAGCCTGACAAGCTACTGAGAGTATTCAATATACCAAACACAGTAATAAGAAGTCTCACAATGGAGACGTTACTGGGCCTGCTCGAGCAAATTGATGAACTTTTTTTTTTATTGAATTACTGGGAGATAGAGTCTTACAAAACTGTTCATGATTAGGTTTCAGTCATACAGTGTTCCAACACCCATCCCTCCTCCAGTGCACATTTCCCAGCACCAGTGTCCCCAGGTTCCTTCCCATCACCCCCGACCTCTACTCCCTGTTTGCCTCTATGGCATACACTTTTCTTTTCTCTCTCTGACTCTCTTTCTCTGTCTCTCTTTCTCTGTCTCTGTCTCTGACTCTCTCTGTCTCTCTTTCTCTGTCTCTGACTCTCTCTCTCTCTCTCTCTCTCTCTCCCTCTCTCTCCTCTCCTTTTGGGCATTGTGGTTTGCAATATTGATACTAAAAGGTTATCAAGAATTTCCCTTTACCTACTTTTAACACTCAGATCTTATTCCCTGCTATTATTGTCATACTGGTCTACCTATGGCCAGGGAAAACAGGAGCTAGAAGGACTGGTCAGTGATTGGAACTAACCACGAGTGTGTGATGTGCTGAGGGTAGATAAGATAGAGAAGAGATCAGCTGTACAATTTTATGTGATTTTCCCTAGAGGACCCCCAAACTACCCACAACCTTTAGAGGCGGATAATATCCTCTCCTCTCCTCTCCTCTCCTCTCCTCTCCTCTCCTCTCCTCTCCTCTCCTCTCCTCTCCTCTCCTCTCCTCTCCTCTCCTCTCCTCTCCTCTCCTCTCCTCTCCTCTCCTCTCCTCTCCTCTCCTCTCCTCTCCTCTCCTCCCCTCCCCTCCCCTCCCCTCCCCTCCCCTCCCCTCCCCTCCCCTCCCCTCCCCTCCCCTCCCCTCCCCTCCCCTCCCCTCCCTTCCCCTCCCCTCCCCTTTCTTTTCTTTTGGGCCCCCAGTGGTCTCAGTGCTTTTCTGCCTCCGTTCTCAGCGGTCTTTCCTGGCAATGCTCAGGGACCATGTACCTTGCTGGGGTTTGATCGAGGGTTACAGACAAGCACCTTAACCTTTGTACTGTTCAACCTCCCCCGCCACGCTCCTCATTGCTAGGAGATAAGAGGCCTGGGGAAATGATGGGAGCCGGCCACACAGTTGCTAACAGAGCTGAGTTTCACCTACCTGGCAGGGCCTTACCTGGCGTGAGGCCTCCTGAAGCTGGCAGGGCTGAGCCCTGGGGTGATTCTCATGGTCCCTGGGACCTTCTGCAACTAACTGGAACGTCTGCTTCTCTATTGCCCTCTCCCTTAGGTTCTGAAACTGCTCCTGGTGGCCTGGGACCGCCGCCTCATCTTTGCCATCGGGACTTCCAGCACCACTGGCGAGTCGGACACTGTCATCTGGAACGAGGTCCACCATAAGACGGAGTTTGGCTCTAATCTCACCGGCCACGGCTACCCAGATGCCAATTACTTGGATAACGTGCTGGCCGAGCTGGCCGCCCAGGGCATCTCCGAGGACAGCATGGCCCAGGAGAAGGACTGAACTGGAGGGGCTCTGGGAACCGCTGGGCAGGATGTGGGAGAAGCCAAGCTGGAAGGGGGTGCCGTGATCCCGCCCCTATCGCCCCCCCCAGCCCCCTCCTCTCTCGTGTCCCACCATCTGTCCCTCTTGGCCGGGGGGGATGTATTAGGTGACTTCATGTATCGACCTCCTCCAGCACATAAGGGACACGGGCTGAGGGCCACCCCGGGTGCTGGGTCAGCGAGAGTCCCTCCTTCCTTCCCCCAAATCGGGGGATACAGTCAGCACACTTAGGGGCTAGGAACGGCACCGGCACCGGCACCGGCGCTCCATCCCGTGAAGTTGAGCTTCGTGGCCTGTGTGGGCTTCTTGCTGCTTCTGCTCTGGCTACGAGAGCAGCCTTTCCTGCTTTTCTTTCCTCACTCACTGTGCGTTTTGGGGGTGGGGTCGGGGTGGGGACGAAGGGGCTAACTGCAAAACTGCTGTGACATCAGAGATCACCCGTGCCTCAGGGTCCAGCGAGGAGGAGGCCCGTCTTGCTGAGAGGGGAAGGAAGTTAATGCTTGCAGAGCACTTTAAGCCCTGAGCATAATAGTCCTTGGCTTGTCGGCTTCCCCCCCTCCTCCCAATCCTCCTCCCCCTTCCCATCCTCCTCCTCCCCCCTCCTTCTTCCCCTCCTCCTCCCCTTCCCCGCTCTTTCTCCTCCTCTTCTCTTTCCTCTCTTCTTCCTCCTTCTCCTCTTCCTCCTCCCTCTCCTTTTCCTCCTCCTCCTCCTGCTCCTCCTCCTCCACCTCGTCCTCTTCCCCTTTCCCTCCTTCTTTTCCTTCTCCTCCTCTTCCCCTCCCCCTCCTTCTCTTCCCACTTCCCTCCTTTCTCCTCCTCCTCCTTCTCTTCCTCCGCTTCCTTCTCTTCTTCCTCCTCGCCTCCTCCTTCTCCTCCTCTTCCTCCTCCTCCTCCTCCTCTTCCTCCCCCTCCTCCTCCTCCTCTTCCTCCTCCTCCTACTTCTCCTCCTCCTCCTCCTCTTCCTCCTCCTCCTACTTCTCCTCCTCCTCCTCCTCCTCCCACCTTCGACCTGTCCAAAGAGGCATCTGGGTTTCTTGTGGCCAGGATGGACTCAGGGGTTCCTCTTGGAGTCCATCCCAGGGTGCATCCAGCCCCTCTCTTGGTCAGACCAGAGCCCGCCTCCCACTTGGCATCTGAACCTTCCTCAGGGAGAGGAGCCCCGCGCCTTCTTCCCGGCGCTCCGTCCCCCACAGCAGCTCACAGATTCCGTGAGTTCGAATTCTAGTCACTGTGAGTGATGCTCCCACGGGCTCTGTGTGTATGCATACATACGTGTGCGTGCATACATACATGTGTGTGTGTGCATGTGTGTATGTGTGTGTGTTTGTGTTTGCACGTGCACAGGTATGCACACACATGGCCCCGGGCCCGTCCCCTCATGCCCCTACACTATCTTGCCAGATGTCAGAACTCGGTTCTGGTAGGGACCCTACAGCCAGGCTGTTCCTCAGCTTTGCTCCCTGCTGCCCGGCAGGGGGCGGGGGGTGGGGGGCGCGGGCGGCAGTGAGCAAAGAGTGAATTTATGTCGCTGGAGACGGAGCTTTGCTGGTGGAAGATGTAAAAGCACTGAACGCTAGACTGACCCCTTTAGTAGCTCCATCAGGATGGCCTTGGAAACAATCTCCATCCAGTCTTGGTTCTCAGCAGGCTTCCATCTGTCTCTGTGGAGGTTTGAGTCCTGATCAGTGCCCAGCAGTGATGCTAGAAGCCTCGTCTCCTTCGTTTCCAGATTCACCCCGAGCATGCAGGGAACCTCTCTGGTCTCTAGCGAATGGGCCTGAGACCCCGATCTGCCTCTGACCTGGGTCCCTAGACCCTGGGGATGCCCCTCCCCAACATTTCTCTTGCCTTCTAAGCCCCAGAAATTGGGGTTCAGGGATGAGAGAAGGGAGATCAAGAAGGGAAATCCAACTCCCCCTTGAAAAGTGGGTTCTTTGAACTATGTGTTTGGGGGAAGTTCCTCTGATCCTATTTCGAATTTATATACCTCATGTTTTGGGGGTTTGACGTATATATATGCATATATATTTCATAATATTTGGAAGGTTTTTTGATGAAGGTAGAAAAATGGAAACAAGGGGCTGGGGGGTTGGACTCAGCCGTTAAAGAGTCACCTTGCATGTGCAAGGCCCTGGGTTTGATTCCTGATATTGGGGGAAAAAAAAAAGAAAGATGGTAAGAAAAGACACTTCAAAAATGGTACTTAAGTTAGAAGCAGTGTTTTCCTCACAGTGATTCTGGGGTTAAGCAAGCACGCAGCCATTTTGCTACGAGTCTGGCCAGTGGACAACCCCTGGTGTCGCCCGTTTTCTGGGGACAGGCTACTGAGTTTCTCCAGCTTTCCTGGAGCGATTGCTGCTCCCACCCTCCTTCTGTGTTTCCTCTATCTGTCGGCACCATCAGACCGGAAGGTTGGTCGTGCATTCACTACTGCTCAAGCAGCAGGGAATCTTCTGGGATCAGTGACAGAAGGCTGTGGCAGCAGCCCTCCCTGTCACGCCCGTGCCTTTTGCCAGCCTGGCCCAGAGATCACTGAAGCATCACCACAGGGTCTTGGGCCATCCACACCCGCCTCAAGTGTCTGCTGGGCTCCTGAGCCCCAACATGGGTGAGGAAGGGAGGAGGGTCAGTGAGCAGAAACCCTATCCCGTGGGAGGTGGACCAAGACGGGCAAAAGGTGACAGTGGCAATGGACAGTGGGGAGAAACCAGCTTTCCTGCGTCCAGCAGGAGGAAGAAGCAAGGGTGAGGCAGACAGCCCAAGCGGAAGTTCAGGCCCCAGAGAAGACACCAGGCAGAGTGTGGACCGGGGTGGGGGTGGGGGGACGGGAGAGGGGAAGGTGCCACTTAAGAGTGTCACATCTCCACACCTTTTCTCTCGGGCTCTTGATTCTGTCTAGAACCCACCCCCCCCCCCCCGTCTCTCTGGAGATGCTCAGCAGAGAGACCACCTCATCTTCAGGATGCTCTTCTCGGGAGACGTTGTGGGCAGAAGGGATCTTGAATTTTATTTTTTTTTAAACACTGTGCCAGCTAAGGGGAAGAGGGGCGTTCCCTTTGCCCCTTTTCCTTGTGCCAACCCGGGAAGGTACAGTCTCAGGTTCAGCGAGAACTTGCCAACAAAGGCCCTGTGCGTCCTTCACTCTCACACAGGATAATTTTCTTGCCTGGAGCCCAGCTCTGTTCCGAGTCTTTCTATTCATTGTCTTGGCTCCCACAGTCTCTTTTCTTCGAGTCTCCCAGGATGGTGACAAACCTGGTCAGATGCTCATCCTTTCAAAGATCAATTGTGTATATGTGGTTGTGTGTATGTTTCTTTGTGTGTTCACATCCTCTACACCACTTTTTTTTTTTTTTTGGTAAAACTTGTACTTCTCTGTGGTTTTTCTACTTGGTCCATAGTACTTGTTCTATGCATTGCAGCGTTCTGCTCGAGAGGACTGAGGAATGACATTGTGGAGTGCAAGAAAGGGTCCTGTCCCCTTTCCTTGTCCGTGGTCACTGGTGTTTGAGAGGGGGGTGGGGCGTTCTGGGAGAGGGCACACATCACTGTCCTAATGTCACCGTTTCTGTTCGTGACCTGTGTGTGTTGAAGTCCGTGGTGTTGCTCTGTGAGAGGACATCGCCCCCTGGTGCTCATGAGGTGTATGTGCAGAACAATAAATGACTAATGAACAACCAACAAGTAATTGTTCACCTGCTCCTTTTTTGTTGCTAAGCATCTGTGTGGGTGGCCGCTGGGGGTACACCCCGGAGTCTGAGAGGACCATGCAGCTTTCCACTGTCTGGAGAGGAAAATGTCTTTTCTCTGTATCTCTCCACCCCTTATATATTTTCTTCTATAGTTTTCTTCTACTCATTGGACAAGGGATTTAATATGATTTCATGTTCCTCTGCAGAAACAGACCACAAGGCAGGAAATAAGTGAGCAAACTCTTGAGGTCAAGACTCTCAAAAGCCGCAGTTGTTAACCTCAGCAAGTTCCTTTCACCTGGCTATAGTAGAAAAGATGTTTCAAAAGTTTACAGGCTGTTCTTGATTAAAACTTAGCATTTTCCCCCTAAGAAGGAGAACATATCAACTGTGAATGCAAAGACCGGTCTGCCTCTCTTTTATGGACCATGCAGTGTGGCTTGTGGGAAGATGGACTATTCTCTAGGGCTGGAGCAATAGTACAGGGGGTAGGGGTATTGGCCTTGTACATGATTCGATTCAAGACCCGGGTTCAGTCCTTAGCATCCCATATGGTTCATGGGTTCGATCCTTGGCATCCCATATGGTTCCCCTGAGTACTATCAGGAGTAATTACTGAGTGTAGAGCAGATTAACAATAACAACAATAAAACAAAACAGACTAGTGTCCATAGATCCCGGCCTGGGATCACCAGTCAGGAAACCAGCACTCGGGCCAGAGTCCAAGGCCTCTCCCGCTGGAATTCTCACCCTGTCGCCTGGATCAATAGGAAGCACACGCTCCCACATGCCGATTTCCTGTGAATGAACAGTCCAACAAAGTGTTCCTCATGGGAGCATTTTAATGCATATATACGGGCAATTTTGTTAGCAGAAATAGAAGCTAAAAGGAGAACTTATTTTAGTCAGGGAGCATTTTGCTATATTTTATGTCTCTGACTCAGGAAGCTTCAGAGAAAAGGTTGTAGAAGTCAGTGCCTCTGTCTGGGCCACCGGGAGAGCAAGATTCAGATGCCGTTTCCCTTCTCGTCTTTGCTACACCGCCGGGCCGTGCGTGAGTTTCCTCCTTTTCATCTTCCCTCAGGCTGGAACAATTCAAGATTCTCATAAGTGAAACAGACTGTGAACCCAAGCGCTGGGTTGTAGATGTTACTGAGGAAACAACAAATGTTCCTTCATGAAAGATTTTTAAAGACAGTGACTGGGAAGCAGAAATAAGGAGCTTGAAAATACATGGGGAAACATGCCCAGATTATTCATCCTAGGAGTCACCAAGAGGTGAAATCAGCAATAAAATGGGACAATGCCCCAAATCTGAAATGACAATCGTGCATCCTGTTAGGTGCCCCAGGGAAGTCAGGTCAGGCACTGAAATATATTGTCACAGTTCTCTGGATTCCTTTTTTTTCTTTTTGGGTCACACCCGGCTTTGCACAGGGGTTACTCCTGGCTCATGCACTCAGGAATTACTCCTGGCGGTGCTCGGGGGACCATATGGGATGCTGGGAATCGAACCCGGGTCGGCCACGTGCAAGGCAAACGCCCTACCCACTGTGCTCTCGCTCCAGCCCCTGGGTTCTTTTTTTTTTATTTCATTTCAAAAACCAGTCTTTGGTCATCTCAGTCTCTTCCCATTGAAGAGAGTGGAAATTAAGGCAGGATATAAAATTGGTGTTTCCTACTCAGATTATGTCTCAGAGAAGAAGTCATGATTAGGTGTGTATATTCTGTGACTCTGTGTGTGTGTGTGTGTGTGTGTGTGTGTGTGTGTGTGTGTATACTGGTGCTGGTTGTTGGTAAAGTAAGGGTCACTCATGAAAGAGCAAAGAGTCACACTTTGGTATCTTAGCCCAGGGCACTCTACTGCTTGATCTCTCCAGATCTGCAACTTATTTCTTACTCCTATATAGGATGAGCTAAGAGGACTTATTCATAAGAATTCCAGTTTCTCATGAGCACCAGAATATTTTCCAAATTTTACCTTTGCTTCACTCACTGTTATCTCCAAACTATCCCTTCTCCCTTCACCTAAAAGAAGTTGTCAAGTTAAAATATTTTCAGAAAATGTTATGATACTTGTCCAAAGTCCAAGAGTGGTCTTGTCTGAGTAAATCTTAAAGTTTTAGGGAAGTTGGAAAAAATTGGGCTTGTTGAAGGCCAATATATATTTTGATTAGATGATGTGGCAACACAATTCTCAAAATAGTGACACAGTCCTCAATATACAAAGTCCTCAAACTGAAAGAAGTGACTGATTAGGACATTCTGTGACTTCTGGTAAACCTGTTAGCCTCATACAGCATGAAACACACACACACACACACACACACACACACACACACACACACGCACACACACACAACCCAAAATACTGGAAGAGTAATATTTAAAGCCAGAAATTTTTATAACTTATGAATTGAAAATCCAAACCAACCTCAGATTAAAGGCAGATTCTTCAAACCCAAATACCAACTTTCTCCCTCCTCTCTTCTAGGCACATAAATCCAGGAGATTATAATTAATGTCACATACATAGAACCCCCCTCTCCCACGCCCACCACTCTATCAAGTTTTAGTTACCAGCATCCCAGGAAGATTTGTTTTTCTCTGAAAAAGTCAGCACCACTTACAATCCCAGCTCCCAGTGTTGCCTCTGTAGCTCTTTTAATTTTCTGACCCAGAGGTTTCAAGAAGTCCTAGAGCTGTACCTGCTTTTTGTTGCATTTCCTACTTCAGTACTTGGGAGGCCAGAACAAGAGAGAGAAGAAGTGAAAGATGAACTCGCAGCTCTGGCAGAAGATGAGAGGCTTTCCGGGGAGAGATTTAGACTGGACTCTTTTCCTGCTCTCGCTCAGGGCTATCTTGGGCTGCCACAGGGCTGACAGTCAAACTCTCCCTCTCCTCTTTGATTTCCTGGTAGTCCTTCTTTTTGTAATTGCGGGCAGTGTAGATGGCCAGTGCAATAGCAGCTGCCAGGCCCGTGGTGACGCCTATGGAGACGCCAACGGCTGCTCCTCCCGACAGTCCACTACCATCCTCCTGGAAACTTGTGATGGCCCGGCGTAGCTCCAGAGGCTCTCCCAGCCTCCAGAGGTTGGTCTTCGAGTCCTTAATCCAGGCGTTGGCAGCTTCTGGATTCATCACCAGGACTGTGTTGGTGGCAGCCTGATTCATAAGGGGTGGCTGGGTGTATGGGGGGAGCCTGGCGGGATGCAGAGCCCCTCCTGTGAAGAGTCCAGCTTTGACACAGTAGGACACTTGGCAACCATCACTGATGAGGGCTAGGTGTTGGCTGAAGCCCCCGGGACACTTTTTTGGAGAAGGTGCTCCTGAATCTTTGGATGTAGCCTGAGTGACCAAGGGGTTCCCAATGACACAGCTAAAGAAGCCACCAAAGGGGACAGAAAACTTACTTCCTAACTCGTAGTCCTGAGAGACACAGACCTTGAGGCTTTCAAAGAGAGCCAGTGGGAAATAGCCAGCAGGGCACGACTGTGCATTTGTCAGAGGGTTGATGCTCTTCTCACTGTAGAGGCCCCCAAAGAGTAGCCCTGAATTTTCAGGGACTGACCCAGTGGCCACACACCAGAAAGCCTTAAATGTAGCTTTTGCCACCTGAAAGACGTCCTCGCACACGGTCTTGCAGAAAATGCGGAGGGTGCATTTGCGATAACACTCCAGCTGGTTGAGACCCTCCTCGTGGGTCTGAGAGAGCAGGTGGACTGGGGAGTAGCCGGAGGGGCAGGAGAAATCACCAGTGAGTGGATTCTTCTGCAGCAAGTTTTGGCAGAGCTGGACCACGTCATTCCCTGAGAACTGGGTGCATTCCTGATAGACTCCGCCGAAGGAGAAGTTGGTCATTTTCCCTTCACAGGAGCCATCGTCGGTGTTGGCTTGAAAGTTGAAGTTGGGTGAGTTGACATCCGTGCACCCAGGGTAGGTGTTGAAGTTGTAATAGCGTCTCACGGCAGCTTCCACTGTTTTAGACAACTTCTTGACCAGGGGCCCCGGCAACTCGGGCAACAGGTCGCAGTTGATGAAGGAATGCAGAGGCAGACCGGCCCGGTCTATGGCCACAAGGTGGTTGGTGATGCCCTCTTGCCAGGTCTGGAGGGTGATGCCGGGATAAAAGGGCAGCCCTCCAATGCTTTGCACCCTCGAGTTGGTCCGGTTGGAGAGGTAGCTTTTGGTGAAGGCATTCTGGGAGACGTACTTATCCTCAGCTTTGAAGTTTACAATGTTTTGGAAGGCAATGCCAGCAGAGGCAGTGATAGCACTGATTTGGCTGTCCTGCAGGAAGGAACTCCTGATGTGGTCCTCTTGAATGAGAGCAGCCCCAGCATCCACGCTGGTGATGACGTGGGTGCCATAGTTGAGCACCAGGAGTTCTGCCAAGTAGTTTGCCATCCGTGTCTGGTTGCTTTCCAGACGCTCTGAGATACCCAGGAGTTCATTCTTAAACCTCCAGTTTAGTCCTGAAGCTGGCTTGAGTTTGACGGTATAGATCAGATTTCTTACTTGGACCCGGGTCGTGATGGCTTGGTCCCTCACTTGAAGGGTCTTCATCCTCTGAAACTCGAAGGAGAACTTGCCATTGACTTTGGAAAAGAGCGAGAGCTCCAGGTTGATGGAGTTGGAGGTGCTGCTCTGGTAATTGATCCAGGACTCCAGGATTTCTGAGTTCATATCCAGGTTACTCTGTTTCTGGGGAATGGTAAAAATCTCATCAGGGATAATGTACTGACCGTCTTCTGTGGTCCTGCAGTTGGTGTAGGTCAAATTCATCACCCGTCCCACTTCCACGTTCCGCAGATTATCCCAGCCACCTCCAGGTAAGACTTCCAGAATACTTAGATTCAAGGAGTCCTTGCATTGCTGGAATCCTTCCTGATCTGTCTCTTCCAGGGATGTGCCCACAATAGCCCATGCTGCCAGGGCCCAGCAGAGGATGGACCCTCTGAAGCCATGCATAGCTCAGGCAGCTCCGGTCACACAAGTGTCCTACACAATGCCAGGCAAACAGTGTACAACAATCAAAAGGGAAAGAGAGCAGTTGCTGAAATGAAAAATTCAGCGGTTGTCCTCAAGTTACCAAAAGTTCCTCTTTTGGGTTCATCTAAATGCAAAATGGGGAAATGAGAGTCAATTGTAATAATATAGTTCTTCATGACAAAAAAAATTATGCTTATACTTGCCATGCAAACATATCTCTTTCTATCCTCACTTCCTGCCCCCATCCCTCTATCCTGTTCTAGCTCAATTCTGCTGCAGAGGGTGGGGGAGGGGGGACATTCAGAAAAAGTGAACACATGCTTTAGGTTTCCTCCATGGGAGATTTCTGGCATTAAAGGGAAACTATGAGTTTTGCTTTGTGTTTGCTCTCTTTGACTTAATGATTCACACATTTTCCTATTCTCTCTCTGGGGAGTCCAGTACCAGTTTCCTTTTCCCGTAAAAGCAGAAGTAAATGGCAGTGGTGCTCTTACTAAGACACCCTGTCTCCAGCTCCCCAGGCTACCTACAAGGCCTGGGTTTTCTCATTCACCCAGGGTAGAGGCTGTCCACGCAGATAAAAGTAGCAAAAATCTCAAACTTTGTCTTGTGGGCTTTCATTGTGATAAACTCTACCAGCCCCGGCTTGGGAGAAAGCATTGTTTGGGGCAACATAGAAGTAACAAGAGAGGATTTTGGCTGTTGACCCTGGGAGTGAAGGCCAGGTGTTGTGCTGTCTTGTTCAGATAGAAATGCTTAAGCAAAGAGCAAATCCACAATAGAATCTAGATTTTGATTTGCTAAGAGCAGACAGTGGCCAAGAAATATATGTCTATGCTGTGTATACTTATAGGGCCTCTGTATGTGAGTGCTTCTGTGTGGTAGGTGAGAAATTGGTGGTTATTATAACTTTAATTTTCCACATTCCTGACAGGTGTATATATAGATGGGTGCATAAAAATGCACTGTAGCTCTTCATTGCTCATTATTTTATTAGAACAATAATTATTATTGATATTTGGTTTGGGGGGCCACATCCAGTGGTGTTCATGGTTCAGTTGTGGCTCTCTGCTTAGGAATTACTCCTGGGAAGGTTTGGTGGAGCATGTGGAGGTTCTGGGGAAAAACTGGTCAGGAGCATGCAAAGCCAGTGCTTTATTACTCTGGACCCTTGTTATTTTTATTATTATTTTTAAACAGGGATACTTAAAGCAATACTGTACCCAGTAGTAAGGGTATGGTGGTTCAGTGATTGATTAAGCAATTGGGGAGCTGAATAGGGCTACATTGGTCCTGAAGAAGGAGGTTTTCAGTGCCAGGGATCAAACTCAGGATCTTGCACAGACTAGGCGTGTGTTCATTTTCTGTGAGTCATGCAGCTGGCCCCGATTCATGTGTTTAAAGCAGCAATTTTTTACATCATCAAGGGGAGGTAATTTCAGGTCATTCCTTTCAAATGCCCATGTTAGGTCTATTCAACAACAAAATGTAGAATATTTGTCTAGTACCAATTCTAATCAATTCCCAACCTGGTTAATTTTGGGGGAACACCTCAGTGCATCTTAGTATAACCCAGGAAATATAGGGGAATCAATGAAACACTCAATTGTACCTCATGGATCTGGAAATCACACCATGTACCAGAGGAGTGTGATGGAAAAAAGTCAACTTTCAGTTCTCAGGTACCATTCCACAGACTCACTTGTAGATATCCTAAAGTGAAGATCTGGTTTTGAAATACTGTTGTTGGTTGCCCAGTATCACATGAGTTTCACTAGACATTACTAAAATGCTGATGGTGTTCTGTTAACCCACAAGTAGAAATTTGGGGTATATTCATGCATTAGTTATCCTGCTTTGGGAAAGTTAACCCAAGAGGGATTAATTTATGAACAGTGTCCAGTTTGCACTTAGGTCGAGAAGTAAACTTCTGTCCTGGATGTCCTGGTTAATTTTTACATCAGTTAGTTATAGAATTATAGCTCATTAGAGTGAATCTAGAATTAGAAAACTTAAGAGCTGAATGCTCTTCCAGAAGGTCTGTTGAAATAGCCATACATGTCTCTTCAGTCCTTTTCAGGGTTCACTCATCAGAATCAAAGCATTCTTTTATAGTGTTTTGGAGACAGGCTGACAATTTCTTACTCATTGTTTTGCTTTTAAGAGTCTACTGAGGGGGCTGCAGCAATAGCACAGCTGGTAGGGCGTTTACCTTGCACTTGCAAGCAGCCGAACTGAGTTCAATTCCCAGCACCCCATATGGTCCCCTAAGCACCTCCAGAAGTAATTCCTGAGTGCATGAGGCAGGAGTAAGCCCTGTGCAATGCCAGGTGTGACCCAAAAAAGCAAAAAAAAAAAAAAAAAAAAAAAAAAAAAAGCAAAAAAAAAAAGCAAAAAAAAAAAAAGGAGTATACTGAGATCTCACTTTTCTGCCATGAAAATAGAAGAGGGGGGAATGTTGATAATTCTAGTTGTTTTTTTTTTTTTGTTTGTTTGTTTTATGGATAGCTTTTCTCTTTATTTGTATTACAGAAAAAAAAGACAGTAAGGGCCAGAGATAATACAGAGGCTAAGGCTCCTGCCTTGCATGCAGTTAATTAAAGCTCCCTTACTGCACCCTCTGTGCCCCCCTCCCAACCTGTCAGAAGTGATTCCTGAGCACAGAGCCAGGAGTAAGCCCTGAGCACAGCAAGTTGTGGCCCCCAAACAAAATAAAAACAAATTGGTTGACCAAAATGAAACTTCTTGACTTCTACAGGATGACATATTTTTCCATTTAATAAATAAAAAATACTTTCAAACAATTTTAAATTGTGAGAAATTGTTATGCCACAGTGTTAGTAAAAAAAACTTGATTTATCTTTGACATATCTTAATTATGCACAAATATACATGACTAGAGGGATATCATCAATTCACTGGTAGATTTTATCAATTACTTAACTCTTCAATAGAAAATATCTACTGATTTGGCAAATATTTATTGAGTATCTACTTAGTACCAAGTACAGGTTTGAGTCCTAAGCAACCATCAGGTTTGTATTCAGGAAAAAAAACAAACAGTATTTAATTGAGACATTGAAGAAGGAAAAGAAACAAATTATTTCTGGATTCTTTATGCAATTTTCTCCTTTCAATTCATTGGGAAACAATGAAAAGAGAAGTGAGCAGGATGGGAATTTCAGCTCCTTTTAATTTTGCATATGACCAGTAGGAGTGGCTACTCGTGAAAGAAGCAGCCACAGAGCAAATTTCTTTTTTTTTTTTTTTTTTTTTTTTCCCCCTTTATTTTATTTTATTTTTTTTAAAGTTGTAGATTTACAATTTTTTGTGCTTTGGTTTCAATTATACAATGATCAGATACCCATCCCTCCACCAGTGCCCATTTTCCACCACCATGGATAATATCCCTCCCACCCCCATCCCCCCATCCCCCCTGTCTCTGTGGCAGGGAAATCCCCTGTGTTCTCTCTCTCCTTTTGGGTGTTGTGGTCTGCAAAAGAGGCATTGAGTGGCAAACATGTTCAGTCCATAGTCTACTTTCGACATGCATCTCCCCTCCTGGGAGGATCCTCCAAATATCCTTTATTTGGTGCTCCCTTCTCTATCTGAACTGCCCTTTCCTCTAGGATACCCGGCTGGCCTCTAAGTTATGGAGTAATCCTCCTGGTGCTGATCTCAGCTATTCTTGGGTATTAATCTCATACTTTGTTACTTTATATCCCCCAGATGAATGCAATCTTTCTATGTCTATCCCTCTCTTTCTGACTCATTTCGCTTAGCATGATACTTTCCATATTGTACCACTTGTATGTAAATTTCATGACTTCATCTTTTCTAAGAGCTACATAGTACTCCATTGTGTAGATGTACCAAAGTTTCTTTAACCAGTCATCTGTTCTTGGGCATTCAGGTTTCTTCCAGTTTCTGGCTATTGTAAAGAGTGCTGCAATGAACAAACAAGTGCAGATGTCACTTCGACTATACATTTTTGCCTCTCTGGGATATATTCCCAGGAGTGGTATTGCTGGGTCAAATGGGAGCTCAATTTCTAATTTTTTGAGAATCGTCCATACTGTTTTCCAGAAGGGCTGAACCAGTGGACATTCCCACCAACAGTGAAGGAGTGTCCCTTTCTCGCCACATCCACGCCAGCATCGGTTGCTTTTGTTCTTTTGAATGTGGGCCAGTCTCTGAGGTGTGAGATGGTATCTCATTGTGGTTTTGATCTGCATCTCCCTGATGATTAATGATGTAGAGCATTTTCTCATGTGCTTTTTTGCCATTCGGATTTCTTCTTTGAGAAAGTTTCTGTTCATTTCATTGCCCCATTTTTGGATGGGGTTGGATGTTTTCTTCTTGTGGAGTTTAACCAGTATTTTGTATATCCTGGATATCAACCCCTTGTCAGATGTGTATTCGGTGAATATCCTTTCCCATTCTGTAGACTGTCTTTGTATTTTGGTCACTGTTTCTTTGGAGGTGCAGAAGCTTCTTAGTTTAAGATAGTCCCATTTATCTATCTCTGTTTTCACTTGCTCGGCCAGTGGCGTGGCGTCCTTGAAGATACCATTAGCTTCAATGTCATGGAGGGTTTTGCCAACTTTATCTTCAATGTACCTTATGGTTTCTGGTCTGATGTTGAGGTCTTTAATCCATTTTGATCTTACTTTTGTACATGGTGTTAGGCAGAGTTCTGAGCCTATTTTTTTGCATGTAGCCGTCCAGTGATGCCAACACAATTTATCACAGAGCAAATTTCTGAGTGTTTTTCCTCACCACCAATTTCCTTCACTTGGGCTCTTACTGAAATGCAGTATAATTGCATAAACTCTCCAGATGGCCAGACTCAAAAGTCTGTGTCTAAACTCTGAACTTTGGTCTCTGGAGGGAAAAATAACACAACTGTTTGGTCAGAGTGTTTTCACTTCCTCTAAAAAAGAGACCCAGGGTAGCCCCCTCTCTACTTCCCGCTTTCTTTGTCTGAGTACCTAGCAACTTG